GTAAAGTCTGGATAACTTAATAGTAAATTATTCATATTTTGATAATAAATTAGTGAAATGACTTAGCAGCAAATCATCAATAACATATAGCAGTAAATCACTACTAACTTAGTAATTTTTTTTGGTTAAATATTGATATAGAGCTATATTTTTTAATATACCTAACATATTTAATTCCTTTAAAAAATTATACTAATTGCCATTTAATACTAAGGTATTGAGTTACGATATTTGTGGATATTGTATGTAGACACCTTATTTTGTCCGAAGTTCTTTGTCAATTGAGACTAATCTAGGCTCGATTGTAAGGATTTTTATTCATTTTTATTTTAGATTTTTTTATTTTTTTATTTATCATTTTTATTTTTTTATGATCTATTTATTGTTTAATTTCTTTTCTTTCTCCATTATTTGATTAATTTTTTTTTTAAAAAAGAAAAGTTGAAAGAATGAGATTAGGATTAGTGCTAATTTTTAGCTTCGGGTGAGAATCAGAATTGCACTAAAACTCAATCACATAGTTTTATAAATGATTGCAATTTACAGCAAGAAGGACGACAACAGAACACGGGAACAACCGGAAAAACACAGAAAACAAAAGCAAAAAACTATAAAAAATTCGAAGGGACACTGAGGAGAAGCCAAGAAAAAGTCATCGCTGCTGCAGAAAGGAGTGAAAATGAAGAACCTTTGTTTCTTCTTCATCTTTGGGGTCTGTCTTATTCCTCTCTTTGTTTATCTTTTAATCCTGAATCTCTATTGGATCGTCGAGTTCTAGTCTTACTCGATAGTTTTTCACTCAAATAATCTCACTCCATTTTCTTCAGCTCCCTGAAATCTCGTGGCTTCAACCTCGAATTCAAACTCGCCTACGATTCATCTCTTTCTCTTCTTTTCTTCCACAAAAAGGTTTGGTGGATCTTTGGATTTGGCAGTGGTAATTGACTTTGTTGACTCAGGTCATGACTTGATAGTAGCAACTGATGTGTCTGTATCTGATTTGATTAAAAATGTTACTACTGAATGTGGAGTTAATTTCGATGAGGATTCATCGGTAATGGTTATTGATCATAAAAGCTATGTAATTTTTGGAACTGAGGGTGACCATATGTTGATTGCCAGTGATGATTTTATCCAATCTGATGTTACTTTTGGAAAAACCAAAATCGAGGTGCCAGTACTTTTTAAAAGGATTGCACATTCAGTAAATATGGCTAATGGCCTGGTTTTAAAGGTGCTTTCTGTATCTTCTTCAGCTTATTCTGCTAACTCGAAATCCAAATTGTTGAGGCTTCCATTGCTTACTAGATTTGCCATTTCGTTGGCCTCAGTTGTGCAAGCTAAAAATAATGTTCGGATCATGATCACCGGTTCCCTAGATTTGTTCAGTAACCAGTTGTTTAGAACTGCTACGCACAATGCTGAGGGCCCGTTTAAATTTGAGAAAATTAGGTAATAAGCAGTTTGTAATAGAAATTAGCAAATGGGTCTTCCATGAAATGGGGCACTTGAATTCGAAGTAGTTCGATCTGTTGTTTACTCGAAATCATGGTGAAAACTATGGTTGGAAAGGAAACACAACTCCAGCTAGCTGAGGATCGTTTTGCCCAATCTTCAATTCCTGCCCAGGTTGGTCTGATGATAGGGAAACTCAGTTCAACTCTCGACCGAGGCTTTGTGTTCGATTCAATACCCACTCCTCAAAACGATGCTGGGACAACCAGCTTGTTCGATTTTGGAGCCAGCTAAAGACAATAAGAAAAATGGTTCGAAACCTAAATTTTAGATATTTGATTCTTCCTTTTCTTTGGTCATTGACAAGGATTGGGTCATTGAACATGCTCGCCAAATGTCAAGAATGATGGTGGGTGGAATCAAAGTAGTGGGTATTTATGTGTGGGCTAGTGAAGCCACGTTCAAGAATTCTACCATGGTGCTTTGCCAGACTGTGAAAGGAGTTGTAGAAGCAGCATCCTTTTTGAGGGATGACCTTGATGAAAGATTGCCTATTCACATATGTTATAATCTAAAATCTGCTGATGAGCCGAGCCGCTCTTACAAGTTATTTTCGTGCCTCAATCCGGGTCGATTTTAGCTGAGTCGGGCTGTGTAAATTTTTTTTTTGAAAAAATTAAAAGTATTAATTTTTTTTAGAATAAAGTTTTCTAAAAAATATTTTTAAGAAAAAATTGAAAGTATCAATTTTTCTTAAAAATAAGTTTTCTAAAAAATATTTTCAAGAAAAAGTTGAAAGTATAAATTTTCTTTAAAAATAATTTTCTAAAAAAAGGTTTTTTTGAAGAAAATTTGAAAGTATCAATTTTCTTCGAAATTAAAGTTTCAGAAAAATATTTTGAAGAAAAGTTGAAAGTATCAATATTTCTTATACAAAAGCAATGAGTTTTTGAAGAGAAAAGGATTTATATCTAAAGCTGAATCATTTTTTTTATTTCTTTTCTTTTTTGTTTCTTGAATTTTTTTTAATGTTAAAAAATCTAACGATAGAGCATTTGTAAGTAAAACAGTAGTTTCCTTGCATACTTTTGAGGTGAGAGAATTTTTTCAATTTTTTGCTAAAAGTATTAGAGTCAATTGAGAATAATTTTCAATAATTAATTACTTGAAAAATTTTTTAAGGCTTATTGGATAACACAAAATTAAGTTGGTACCATCTTTCGATGGGCTTTGTGAGAGTGCTACAACCTTCCTTACACATAACTGTACTTCCAAATTCTGTTCTGGTTAGTAGACTTGAACCTATTCTTTTAGGGATCCTTAGGCTTATGTGTTCTTTAAAAGGATAGATTCCTTAGGTGGTCAATCGCACCTAGATAAAAAAGATTGATGGCGACTCCTAAAGCTAATGTCTAACGATAGATCTCCGGATCTATCCGTTATGACATTGTACAAATATATAAATAATTAAAACAATATTCATGTACCAATTACTATAACAACATATTTTTATTTTAAAAAATAAAAACTTTGAAGTGAAAATTTGGAATAACTTTATTTATATTTATATGTCATTGATTGCCTATTTGATAGTATATTAATGGTAACTAGATTAATGCTATATCTTTACTAAAATAAATTGTTGTGTTTTATGGAATCATTTATAACATTGATAGCAATTATACAAAAAATTTTTGTCTTTAAAAATATTTTAAGAATGAAATAGAAAAATAATGAGTCTAAATTTATTGAAAAATACCATAGAAAAGCTACCTATTAGTTATTTTCTCATGTACATAATATTTTAAATTAAAATATATGATCTAATAATACTAATAATAGTATGAATTTTATAAATTATAATTTTATAATAATTCGTTTAAATGATAAATTTTTTGTATGACTTATACTGCATATATAATTAAGTGTTCATCGAATAATGAAATTATTTCATTTTAATTAAAAAAGAGTTCAAATATTAAAAATATATTCACTATCAATTTTAAAGTCTAAGATTTAAAACTAGTTTACATTCAAAATATATCTTTTGATATTTGTCTAAAATAGATCATATCTTATTAATTTTAAAATTATGATATTTCATTATTTAGCAAACAATAATAACATTGAACCAAAGTTAATTGAAAAAAGTATTCGAATATTTAAAGAACAACATAAAAAACTATTTGATTAGGATAAGGTATGCCTTTAAGTAAAACTCTTAGTATATAATATATTTTAGTAAGTTAAGTATATTTAATTGTTTTTTACGAAATAAGTATTTGATACTAAAAGTAATTTTAATCAATATCCCATATAAATATATAAATAAACATCATTGATTATTACATCGAAATACTAATAGTTTTTTTTATTACTTCATATCCTTTTTTAGAATCTGTTTACAAATTAATATTTTTAATTAGTAAAATTCATGTAAGTATGCATTTTTTACTATAAAATAAAATTACAAAATGATTTATATTACATAAATAAGTACATGTTAAAATAAAAGTTAGTAATAAAAAAATTATATATTTACTTTATTTCAAATAACAAAAACTTTATAACAATTTGGTTTCAAATCAAAATAATGAATTTAAATTTTCAATGGCAAATATATAAAAAGTAATATTTTGAATGAGTTTGGCAGTGATCAATTACCTAAAAAATTTATAAAATTGAAGATAAAAATCCACTATTAAAAAAGCTTTAAAAAGCTCTAGAAAGAACACAAAATAAAGAAGAAGAAAAGTACAAAATCTGATTTGATTGTGATAATAGGTAATTTTTTATAGTCAAAAAAATTAAAAAAAGAAGAAAAATATAAAAAAAAAGAATGAAGATGATGCTTAACCCTAAAAGACTTAAAAGAAAACTTCTAAAAAGAATCAAAATAAAAAAGAATCAAAATAAGGAAACATTAAATATTTATTTTTATTGAAATTTTAATTTTTTGTTATATTTATGTTTTTAAACTTAAATTTACATTTTTAATTTAATTTAGTATAATAATAATTATTTCAATTTTATTATTATAAAATATCAAAATTATTATATTATATTATAATTATAATTTGGTTAACAATCACGTGCATAGCATGTGGAATAAAAGTAGTATATATAATAAGAGAAAAATGAAATATAGACAAATATACTTTAAAAAAAAAAAGAATTCTACTAGCTACAAGGAGACAAGATGAAAAATATTATAAAAAAAAAAAATACAAAAGATACAAGATAAAAAAGGAAAATTGTTTCTTTCCTTGTTTGGTCGATTTTATAAAATTGAGAAACAATTGATAGCCACTTGTATTAATTTACCATTGATAGAGAAGATATAATTATAAGATTATAAAGATAATTATAGTAAGCCTAGTTAGAACTAGTTTATAGATAACTATAAAGATAATTATGTTATAAAGATAATACATGCAAATGATATTTCTTAATTTTTTTATTTGAAATCATCAAGATTCAAATTTAGATCTATATTTATTAATTAATTACTATTCATAAAAAAGTTAATTTCAGTGATCCTCTTTATTTCATTACTTAATAGACATATAGCTACAAAGAAAAAGCGTGTGAGCAAAAATACAAATGAAAATAACAAAAAAAAAACATACTGAAATTTGAAAGATTGGTCTATTCAAGTTTAACCCTTGTGAGGGGACTCAGTGATGGAGTGTAAGATCTTCATTTTTCTTCTCTGGATTGGTCCAATTTGGAAGGTGGTTTGAAAATCCATCGCCATCCCTTGAAACTCTTTCTGCTCTTTCTGATTCCTCTTTCATCCACTGTCATCCGACAGGAATCTCCATTCAAGAAGGCCCCTTCGCCGAGCTGGACATTTTTAATGGAACTACCGGGTTTATATGGCATAAATTCATCACTTTCCCTCATGCTGCCAAAAGCAGACAAAACACCCTTCTTCACAGCTGGATTATCCCCTTTAGACTCTGCTTGAAGATCAAATTTTAAGTCTATGAAGCCTGAATCATCCCCACCTGTAAAATAACTCTCTTTCAGAGTAAACACCCGCCTGTTTGCACCATTAAAACCACCATCAACATCCATGAGACCACAACCAGCAGCAGCTTTTCTCATAGCTTTAATATCTGCAATATCAGACTCTAGAAAAGTACTGTCTCTTCTTTCACAATCAAAACCACTTTTCCTTTCAGGATCAAAAACCCAACCACCATTGACACCAGAACTCCTAGCAGCTGAAATTGAGCTCCTAGCACCTGAGAAGTTCATCAAGTCACTTCCATCTTCTGATCCAAAAAACCCACCACCCCTGAAACTACAAAGAGACCTTGACCTTGACACTCCCATGTAGTCAACAACCCACAAATCACTTTTCTCATCAACCCCACCAACACTCTTACCACAATTAGCATCTTTGTCTCTCTTCTTCCTAAACAACCTTCCAATTCTCCAAAATCCATTCTTTTTCTTGATCTCAACACAGTTACTATTGCTTCTCTTGAGCAAGAAAACTTCTTCTGATTTATTTCCACTGCTACTGTTTCTAGGCTTGGAATTTGGATTTGGAACTTGATCCTTGTTTTCATTCTCTATCAAGAATGAGACACGACCAACGCTGCCGACCTCACCAGTGCATGAAGTTCGAGGGTTGGAGGAGATTTCAGAGCATGAGCAAGATGAGAGACGTTGTTCACCACAGTCTGAGCAAACCAAGTTGATCAAACGATCCCTGAGACAATACGCACATACACCAACTGAAGATGATTGTGGATGTTTCTTACAATATGGGACGTCTGATGAAGTGCTATAGTCTTCGAAAAAATCAATATTGTTGCATACTTCCACCGCTTTGCCTCTCTCTTTCATGGCTTCTCTTCATTATGTACTAAAATGGAACTCCAAACTTGGAAAGATTGGCTTATCAGGAGACAGAAAACACATAAATCGAAAAAGGGTATACAGATCGAATGCTTGCTCTAACAGGCATACATATATCGAAGCTGATCAAGCAAGCAAAGGATCAAAATTTGGGGAGGAAAAGTGGAAATCGAAGAGAGAATATAGCAGAGTTAGAAAAGCTAAAGACTCTCAAGATTCTCAAGAATGCAAGGTACCTTGACGCTTTAAGGTAGGTTGATGAATAGTAAAAAGCATGGAGGAGGCGTTACCTTTACGTTTTTTCTTTGGACAAAGAAAAAACAGTGATGTAAGAAGCACTATTTCCTACATGTATGATTGTGTAGGGAATGCAACAGCAAATTGAGTAAAGTTACACAAACTCTGAAACAATCCAAGTTTACATCTTCTTACTAGACCAAAGCTCAAGCTCCCTTTCCCAATTAATTCTGAAACTCCATGCACACTCTCTTCGCCTATGTTATTAGGATTTGGGAGTGAGTGTCGAATATATATATATATATATATATAAGTATGTATTTCGATACAGATATATTTATATTTTTCGAATTTGAAAATGACCATCAAATATATATGAGCATGTCTTTGACATGGGTATGCTTAATTTTTTTTAATTTAAGTTTTTCATATATTTGAAGAGTCGAATCTCCGCATTCATAGCTATCACGTGTGTGTATAAATATGAAACTCAAATAATTCAAGAAAAATAAAAATTTAAAGCAGCATAACTCTCCAATGTTGCTCACAGTTAGGGGTGTAAATAATACATTAGTATTCGTAAATTATTCGGGTTCGATTCGAAAAAAACTCGAATTTGATTTGATTATTATCGAGTCGAACTCAAGTTCGAGTAGCTTGACTTATCGATCGAGCCAAATTCGAGTATTTTATATCCGATTCGAGTAGTTCGCGTATATTTTTATTATTTTAATTAATAAAATATTTCGAATTCGAGTTCGAATTCGATGATGAATAATCAAACTCTTATCGAGTGTATGAATCAAACTTATTTTTACATATTAATCGAGCTTAATCTAACGAGCTTGAGTAGCTCGAATTCGATCACGAATCGAGTTCGAGCTTGAAAAATAAAATTCGATCTAGCTCGAGTCGAATATCAAACTCCGAATTATGATTCAAACTCGAGCTTGAACTTCTCACTATTCGACTCGACTCGATCCGATTACACCCTTACCTCACCATCATGTGATATACATGCACTAGAGATTCTTTTCTGTCTATAGAGTCCCGTTTTCAAAAGTCTTTTGAAACATATATATATAAGGTCCCATTCCATCAATCTGTCATGTGTTTTGTCAACTTTTTTCCCGGATTTTCTTTACATTTCATTCTTGAGTATTGACTTTTTTCCCATGCCAAATCAAAATGCTAAGTGATTGACACAAACTCTCTTCTCAATTAGAATTGTTATTTCTTCATTTCTTCTATTATTGGATTGATGAAAGTTACTTATCAGGAAAAAATAAAGCCATAAAGAACTAGTTAAGAATGCATTTATATATCAATTTGGTCCACTTTCTTTTGCTATTGTCGCCATGGTTCTTTTCATATATATAGATCTTGAGCACGTGTTCCACCAGCAGATCCATTTCATGGCCCCCATACATGGACGATTGGAGGCCAAACTTCTTTTGGCATTTTATTCCTACAATTTTCTGTTGGAAATCAACTGTATTGATAGGCTAGGCTACATGGGTAATCTTTGTGATGAGAAGTATGAAACAATTTAAGACATGCCCCATGCAACCAAAACCTCAAAAATATAGAAACTAGGATTTATGTTTTGTCACATTTCATCAACAACAGCTTCCCATTCAATCTTTTCACTGCCAAATAATTTAACTCGAACTAACGAGCCAGAAATTAACCCTAAACCATTTTATTCTTATTTAGTAAGAGCAAGGCAATTTTAAACTTTCATCATATATAAGAGATTGAGCTGCTTCTTTTTTACCTTAACTTTTTGTCATTATAAAAAAGCCATAATTTGGAAATAAAAAAAATTACAACATTGAGATTTGAATTTTAGATATGTTGAATTTCTTAACTTTAATGAGCTTTTTATTGTGCATAACAGGCTTGCATATGCATACAAAAAGATTAGCCGAAAAAGAAAAATTGGCCACAAAAGTTTGTAAAAGAAATACTAAAAGAAATAAAGCTTGTTATAGCTACAAGCTTAACAAGCTTGGCCATGGTGAGACATAATGGGGAGGCGGCATGCTCAACGCATGCCAGATCCACAGACATCATTGAGGCAAATAAATAATAATTGTTTCAAGTAATATTGTCTGGTCTAACTTATTTTTCTGTAGTTAGAAATGGTGATAATCATGATGTCCCATCGTTCTTTGTTCACTAAAAATTTTGTAATCTTGTACTTGATGAATTCTATAAGGGTTTTGGAATTGTAAAGTTAAAAAGTTTTTTTGGCCCATGTAAGACATTGAAATGCCCCATAATCTTTACTAATTATGAACATTTTCCAAACATTACATCTACTATCTAACATGCTTAGGGACCCATCAACCCCAAATGCAAAAAAAAAAAAAAAAAAAAAGAACCCTCTTAGGGCTCTTTCATCAATTCAAATATTTCTAAGAAATTCATGGTTTTCTTTTCTGAATTTGAAATTTAGGGGATAAAAAATGAATGATGATTCTTGTCATGTGGTCAATCTATATACCTTTTCCTTTTATCATGCCTACCTTTGTCTTGGTGGAAGCCAGCCTGCCTTAAAGACATACACCAAATTGGATGTTTGCATGAAAATGATAGTAGAAGCTTTTTAAATATATTTGTTCATAAATCGTATTATCTTTTAATTCTCAAATTGAACCCGATTTGCAAGAATCTTAAATATGAATTTTGAAATACAAATTCGATTAAGTTTGAAATAACATGAGTAATACTATTTTATTATATAAAAATAATTAACATGAATAATATTTTTTTATTAAAATTTTTAATTTTTTATTACTAATATATGATATAAATAATCAAAATTTTATATATTTTAATATCTCTCAATAGACTCAATTCTCATTTTTGCTGCCCACATATTTCAACTTTTGCTGTTATCTTTTTTGGTACAAAACAATGTTATTGTTAAGCACCTTGTTAAATCATGAAAGCCATAGTTGGTTAATGATTTGGGCTCCATTTGTCCATCTCTTCAACCACAAAATTGTGTGTTTCCATTGAAACTTGAAAGTCAAATCAAATTAGTAATTTTGACAACAACTTCACATATTATATATTCTTTAAAACAAATTTATCACTATTTTCATACACTTAATGAGTCATCCTAATGATTTAAGCTTAAGATTTTTTTTTGTGATGACATGACGTTATATTTTCCCATCAAATAAATAAAATTTAGAAATCAATGAAATTGAATTATTATGATATGGAGTTATTAATAAACTTTATTTATTTTTTAATAATTATGAGATTTATTGATAGAGTACTAAAATTTTAATTTTAATAATTAAAAAAATCCGATAAATATGTCAAAATGAACCAAAACAGAGATTGAATTCTAAGTAATAAAATCAAGCTTTAAAATTTAATCCTAAATTTATATATTATTTTTCCTTTTCCACTAAATATTTTTTGTCGTGGTATAGCTTAGAAAATATTTCTGCTAAAACACCCTTTTTGAAAAAATGTCAAAATGAACCAAAGATTGAATTCTAAGTAATAAAATCAAGCCTTAAAATCCTAATCCTAAATTTATGTATTATTATTTCATTTTCATTAAATATTTTTGTCATAGTACAACATAGAAAATATTTCTGCTAAACAACCCTTTTTGAAATTTCCCCAATTCAAATTTGTCGACCCTTCTCCGCCACTCTTTATCCTACTGCAATCTGCACCGTGCACCTTTAGCTTATCCATTCTCGTCGAAACCGACGTAACAAGTCTCATAAACCCAACAATTGATGGCACCAAACCCCCACTATAAACTCTTTGGAATTTGCTTAGGGTTTATCAGATTGGGGATTTGGTTTTTGAAATTCTTTTTTTGCAAATTAATCTCCCCCTTTATGTTTGCTTCAAACAGGTATACAACCTTTCTCTTTCTTTTTTTTTTTTCTTTCCTTGTTCTGTTTTTCTAGCTTCTTTCTAAATTTCATTTTCTGATAAATTTTCCCTTATTTTTTAATTCAAAATCCATTTTTTTGGTGATTTATAGTAACCCATCTCTTTATACTCTTTTTTTTTTTTTTTTTTTTTTAATGATATCCTAAAGTTTCAGCTAGTGAAAAAATGAAATCTTTATGCAGTCCCTGTATCCAAAATTTACAACTATTGGTTCAAAAGTAAACCTTTTGAGTGAAAATTCAACATGGGGATTTCTTTAAATTTATCTCATTGAGGTTTTCAACCTTTTTCTCTTAATTTCCATGTTTGGTTTTCTTGTTTTTTTGTTTTGAGACATTTTCATCAATACCCAATTGCTTGCTTGAATTATTGAAATCACATAAGTTTTCTGTTCAGTTTTAGCAGGTCTCAGAAACTTTATGACAAGGAAGAATGGGGTATATAGGGGCACATGGTGTAGCAACTTTGCGTAGATACAAATACAGTGGTGCGGATAACTCTTATCTTGCTAAATATGTATTGCAACCCTTGTGGGGCCGCTTTGTCAACTTCTTCCCTCTTTGGATGCCGTAAGTTCTTCACTTTTTCATGCTTTGAATATCCATAGTTTTATTTGATGCTTGCTTTTGTCAGCTTTTTGCGTCCGTTATTTGTTTTAAAGAAGTCTTTCTATTTATACATGTATGAATGTTACTATTTCAAACTTTTATATGCAGTTGGATTGTGCTATTTGATATAGTACTAAGCTTAGAGGAAGGAAATGAAATTATATTTGTTTCAAAGTCTAAGTTTTAATCACTACATCATGCTTCAATTGAACTTTAAGTATTTGCCCTTATAAGTGATATTTGCTGGCACTAATGTATTTATGTTTGTATATGTGTATGACTCTGGCTTGGCATTTTCTCCAGACCAAACATGGTATGTAATGCTTACTACTCTAAATTGTGATTTTCATTGTACATACAAGCTTGCACATACACATACATGCACCCACGGAGTGCATATGCATGTATTACCTGTCTTATTTGATTACTAATTTGTTATTCTTTTGTTTCTTAAGATAACGCTTACAGGGTTTATGTTCCTGGTTACATCTGCCATGCTTGCCTATGTGAGTCTGAAACTCTGTCTTTCACTCTCCTTACTTCTTCAATGTTATATTTATTTTGATTTTTTGAATCCTAAAGTCAAACTTATTTTGACTCAAGATGTTATCAATTTTCTGGAAATTTTGGTATTATACTGATGATCTGCAAATTCTATTCCAATAACAAAAAACAATAAACCAAGTCTTATATCCCATAACTCTGGAGTTGACTGATCTGCAAATTCTATTCCATGAATTTTTTTTTTATTTGTATTACTGTTTCAGATTTATTCACCACACTTGGATTCACCCCCACCAAGATGGGTTCATTTTGCGCATGGGTTACTTCTATTTTTATATCAGGTTTACACCTCCTCCTTTCCGGCAATGTATTCAAACTTCTATCTTCTTCTTATTCCCTTGGTGTGTTCAGGAAGGGGGATTAGTGTGTGAATGTTTTACTTTTTTATATTCAGTATGGCTTCTCTTTTTTGACATATTGGTAATTACCTGCTAGACTTTTGATGCTATCGATGGGAAGCAAGCCAGACGAACAAACTCCTCTAGTCCACTTGGAGAACTTTTTGACCATGGTAATTTCAATTTATCATGTCTTTTCTCCATCCTTTGCTACTTAAATTTAAAACAAATTCTGATGGAATAATTATGTTTTGGTGGTCCTGAAATATTACAGGTTGTGATGCGCTTGCATGTGCGGTAAGTGTTTAACTTGTTGCATTACATAACAATGGCTAATAAAATTCCTCCATTATACAAGATTGATTCTTTTTACAGCTTGTAATCATGGCTTATGGGAGCACTTCCATGTGTGGAAGGGATGCTTTCTGGTTTTGGGTAATTGCAGCTGTTGCTTTTTATGGAGCTACATGGGAACAGTAAGTAATAAAAAATGTGCTTTGTTTTTGTCTTTTGTTTCCCTAGTAAGAAACCAGGCCATACATTATGCAATTCTTCAATTACTTGGATTATTCTATTAAGGCCTCATAAATTTTGTTTTCAATTGCTCTTTGTCTAGCTACCTTCACCACTTTTTGTTAGGTAATTGGGTCAAGAAAATTTTGCGATAACGTCTTGATATGTATTCGAGGTTTTTGATTGTACCGTTTGATATGTATTTCTCTTGCATGTCTCCATTATTGCTATGTAAAATTTTAGAAGGGCCTTTTAGTTTCTAATGTGGTTTTTGTAGCATACAGTTGAAGGTTCTTTGCAGAGCTAATACTTTTGTTGTTTTCCATTTTTTTCTTGCAGCTATTTCACCAATACACTTATCCTTCCTGTAATTAATGGGGCAACCGACGGTGTTGCCCTGATATATACAAGCCACATTTTTACAGCAGTTGTTGGTATGTTTCCTCATTTGATGTGTTATTTGTGCATTTGACAACCTGTACTGTGAAACCTATCTTTTACTTGACTGTCACTTTTATTGCATATCTTTCTTCTCTGTTCTTTTTTTATCACTTTTTTGATTGCATTATCTTTTTTCCCCCTTTTCCCCTCAAGGTGCCCGGTGGTGGGCTCAGCAATTTGGGAAGTCCATTCCCATGTTCAGTTGGGTACCTTTTCTTAATGGTAAGTTTTTAATTATGTGATAATTTCATTTTTCTGCAATTGAACAATTATCAGCTAATGCCTTATTAGTTGACACTGCAAACACCCCCCCCCCAAAAAAAAAAAAAAAAAACACACATGCACACAAAAAGAAAAAAAGAAACAGTAGATGGACAATACATGATGGCAAGATGACAATTTATGTTTGGGAAAAATGCAAATGGAGAACTCATGCTGGTTATATTAATAGAATTGATGAAGGGTAAATCAGTGCAGATGGAAATGATTGCGATAAAACAAATTCAAAAGATTAATAAACCTGATCATTGTGGTAGTATTGAGCTGCCAAAGACAAATTTATGATGGATTCACTAGATTTTGTCATGAGATTGCTTCTCATTTGACTTCCTCAATATGTGATTGCCACCGTATGCTATGTTTGTTCTTCTTTCAATACCTCATCTTTTTGTGCCCCTGTTTCATCAGTTTCCCTATTCTACAATCTTGTACTATTATTTTTCTTTGTCTTTTGCCGTTCGATGTATCTGGTATTTCCAAATATCTGTCTCTAGGTTGTCCAAATCTAGTTGTAAATGGTGGATTGCATTTTTAAATCATTAGCTGCTAATGGCATTATCTGTATAGGGATTTGATATTTGATTAGTTATTTTTTTATCATTCTTTTGTCTTAAGAAATGTAAGTCAAGCTCAGGATATTGTTCTTTCTTTCTTTATTATTATTATTATTATTTATGTTGTCCTTGAATTTTGGATCTCATTGGCTTGTTTGCTTTTGCCATTCTTTTCTTTAACTATTGTTATTGCTTATTTACCTTTTCTTCCTTTTTTTTGGCTTTAGAAATTCCAACATACAGAGCTGCGCTGTATTTAATGACATCATTAGGTGTTCTACCTACCGTTGCTTTCAAGTAAGGGGTTATATGCATGCTAAATGGTTAAAATTTAGTTCAGGCTTTCCTGTCTGAAGCTTCTCATACTTTCTTTGGGTATTCTTATAGCCTTACACTAGAGCTGTGGATTACTAGGCTCATTTGCTTTGACCCTTCACAAAACTGTCTGCTTTTCTTTAGCCAGTTTTAGTCAGCTGGAGCTTCTCATGCTTTCATTTTGGCATTCTTGTAGCCTTACACTAGAGCTTTGGATTATTAGGCTGAGCTACATGATCTATTTGCATTGTCATCATTGATGATTTTTTTTATGCCAACTCAGCCTTGAACATTCAAATATTTGATGACTGCCAAGAGATCTTAGCTTCCCAGGCCCATGTGAAATGCAGAGGCCAAGGTTTCTATGCATAAACCATCTGGTGTCAGTCTAGAGTTCTGTATTTTGTTGATCCTGCTGCTTTTTGGTTAATGTGAGCACTAGCTTCTCTTATGTGCTTGTATGGTTTCTTTTGCAGTATAAGCAGTGTCCTTAAGGTCATTCAGGCAAGAAAAGGAAGCATGCTACTTGCATTAGCAATGGTAATTCTGTAAGTTTTTATGTGTTTCTTTCTTCCTTCCTTGTATGCTTAATTGCTTAATAGATGTTTTCTGTTCTTTATTGTCAGCTTTACCCTTTTGTACTACTTGTGGGAGGAGTGCTTGTTTGGTAAATTGAATCTGTCCTTCTTTCTTTTTAAATTGTTGGCTTTTTTGTGCATATTGGCCTTACATCGACTTTATTCCTTTTTTTACTGTGAAGGGATTATCTGTCGCCCTCCGATATTATAGGAAATTACACACATTTAGTTATACTGGGAACTGGGCTTGCATTTGGGTTCCTTGTGGTAAGGTTTTCTTGTTTATTGGATTCTTCTAATACTTCTGAAGTCCTAGATTGTTACAAAAATAAAAGCTAGTTGATATCCAGTAGTTTAAATTTCTTTAGTGCGTCATACGACCTCTTTGTGACTGTTGTCAGTATCTATAAGTGAAACTGGTTTCTCTGATTCTAATATGTTCGCAACACTATCTTGTAGATAATTTTGCTTTTGTTAAAAACTGAAGACTATTCCTTGCTTGTATGCCAGTGGTTTGGATATTTAAAAATGAATCAATGCTATTTATTTTACCTTTCATTCAAGAGTGAATACTTTGCAACCTTCTAACTTTACATGATTTTAATATGGGATGCTGTTGAATCCTAGGAAAATTCTTTCTATTTCCTTATTTCTTCTCTCTGTTTCTCTCTCTCTCTCTCTCTCTTCACTCACTCACTCATCTTTTCTTTAATAATTTCTATTTATTAAACCTAAGCAAGTCCTTGATTTTTTTTTATATGATTTAGTCTTTACTGTTTCATTGTGTTCATCACCTCAAAGTGCATTGATGATTTTCTTTGTCTAGCACACCTCTACAAGCTTTTGCACACCGAATGAAAATTTTCATTCGTTTATTTTTTAACCATTTTTCTTCTCCAACAACCTTGTTGATGAGGGGTTTTATTATTAACTCTGGTGCCCATCTTGGGCTTTACTCCCTGTTGCTCCCTTTATAAACTTTGAGTGGTTTCAGATCTTTCTTTCAGTGAGCAAGTATTCATGAAGGTGTTTTTAAGTGTTATGTATATGACGTTTGTGTGTATCTTTTAATCCATCTTGCTTCGTATTTATTGTTTTCTTTATTTGTTTTTCCACCTCCTATACATATATATTCTTCTAAATAGAGTGCAGCTAAGGTAGGAAGACAAATTCGTATTAACGTGGTTACTAACAGAAAATTGTTTTGACAGGGACGGATGATTTTGGCTCATTTGTGTGATGAACACAAGGGATTGAAAACTAACATGTGCATGGTATGTAGTATTCTTATGTGAATCAGCTTAGGCTTGGCTTCTGAAATATTTAATCAAGCTCAATCTGATTCGACAGCTTTGTCAAGGTCAGCTTGAGCTTGAATGATCTTGATGATAGATTAAACTCAACTGAGTTTGAAAAAATTTACTTGTTCTTAAATAAGGATCCTACTAAATTTTTGCGTTAGTAATATATTTATTTAAACTAAATAATTTATTAAATAATATGTACTCTATTAAACTTGGATCGAGCTAGCTTGTCACTTTTGCTCTTACACCCTCCTTTACCTCTTTTGGAGTTAAATAAACTAGTGCCGTAGAATTTTATCCCTTCAAAAATTACTGCTTTACATTTTATTCTGATTCCATGCATAAGGTTTTTGTATTTGTTCTTAGTTATATGTTATTTTACTTACAGGAGCAGTGATTCTTGTCTTAAAGGGGAAAAGAATGTTTCTTTTTTTGATCTGTAACTACTTTTTGATGGACTTGTTTACATGGTTACAAAATGGTTAACTGTTCCATTCTTTATATGTTTTATTTGCAGTCACTCTTGTATCTTCCACTGGCAATTGCAAATGCTCTTACAGCTAGACTGAATGATGGGTATGTGTGTTAGTTTTTGATTTCTGACCTGATACATCGCCATACCATTTTAGCTATTGTTTCTCAGGGACATGAATGCTAATTGTTGTTTTTCCCTCTTTTTCTCCAGTGTTCCTTTAGTTGATGACTTCTGGGTTCTTCTTGGTTACTGTGTATTCACAGGTATGACTGCTGCCTTATTTAGTTATTTTAGTTAAGGAGTGTACAACTATGGTATTCTAGGCAACTTTGTTCCAACATCTATTGAATCAATTTAACTTTGAACTAATTCTGTAGTTGAGTAGGGGTGTAAATGAACCAAACATGAGCAAATTTTGCTATGATTGTGATCTGTTCGTTTAATTAACTAATCTTGAAATGTTGTTCGTGATCATTTGTTAAATTTAATAAATGAACAAAAACAGAACATGTTCATGAACTGTTTGTCGAACAAACTGTTCGTTTATACCCTTATAGTTGAGAATGAGATCTTTTTAATTTTTAAATGTTAATTTTTATTAGAAGTTAACATCTTTATCTCTCTGTCAGTTCATTGCATAGCGCAATCATTTTACTTGTATGCTGTTATATTTCGCCTGATAGTTCTCATTTTGTCAAACAGCATCACTCTACTTACACTTTGCCATATCAGTCATTCATGAAATTACGACAGCTTTGGGGATTTATTGCTTCAGGTGAGGAAGTTGTATTACCCCCTGATCCCTTCATTTCTTTGCTTTAATGTGTTTTGGTCCAATTCTTCAAAGATTCAGTACTATGACTGCAATAATATGTAAGTGTGGTCAAGACATGGGAGCTACTTAGGTTGATTAACTCCATTAACCGGTTTGGTTAAGGTTGTATGAAGTGATATTTGGTTCTGTAGGCAAGTTTCCAGGACCAGGTCCATTTATTCTCTAGTTATTGCTCTTTGGGTTACGTTTTCTAGACCATTGTTTCTAATCATTATCCCTTGCTTAAACTGACAGGGTAACAAGGAAAGAGGCTTGAGCATTGGTGATGGTTATCCAAAGTTTGTTGTTTCCTCATTCCTAGCCTGAGCTTGAGATTGCTATAAACTTGGTTTTTAACATACCTTTTGTTTCCCCTGGAAGGTTGAAGCATTGCCGTAATGGTTCAGTATTTGGCAAATTCTTTTTTTGATAAGCATTGATGAACATTGCAGCTTATCAACATTGTTATAAATGTTTTCCAGAGTTTGAGAATAGATTTCCATCTATCTAGAATCAAAGTTTTTAAGCATATACTGAAAAAAAAAAAAAAAAAAACCTCTTTTATTTAAAGAGTTAGTGTTTGATACATTATTAATGTAAATTTTTAATTACATAAGCAGATATCTCATTTTTTTAATTAATTAAATAATAATATATTTAAATTAAATTAAATTAAATTTTTTATATTTAAATAAATTTTTTAAATATTAAAATATTATGTTAAAAATTTCAACTTATTAAATAAAATAATTTATTTTATATTTAAATTTTTTGTATTTTAATTAAAATTTGATTAATTTAATTTTTAAATTAAATTAATCAAAAATCAAAATTCTTTGAAAATAATTTTTATTCCCATTAGAATCATAAAAATTCTGTCATTTTAGACACCCTTATCAGTGCAAGTGCGTGGAGAACAAAGCTCTTTCCAAAATGCAGTAATAAATTAAGGGAAAAGATGCCAACAAGAGAAAAGAAGCAGAGGAAGAAAATTACAAGACGCAAAGTCACGTACGTGTCAGAAAAATGGGCCAACCGGAATCTTGTCATCATTGTCGTCAAGACAAAAGCAATCAACACTTGTTCACTCGAGTGATTTAAGGATCTAAATTTTTTTAAAAATAAAATTTTGAATTTGAGTTTAATAAATAATAAAAATAAATGTTAAAAGAATTTATTTTTTATAAAATTCGATCGATTTAATTTTAAATTAATTAAAATTTAAAATAATGATCAGACATAAAAAATCTCCAACCGTTTCGGACACGAATCAATCTTTTTCAATTTTATTTTCCAATTTTCTTGAACTCTGCAACCGCGAATAAATGAGGTGCCCCAATCTAAACTAATGTCAAACTTTCTCAATTTAGGAATAATGGAAAAATATTTAATTTAGGAATAATGGAAAAAATTTTGGCGGTTCTTTCGGCACGTAAAATGTCTGAAATATCCTCCCGCTCTTTTAGAAATTTGCTCCACAAATTTGGATGGCCAGCTTGCGTAAATATGCATGAACCGTTCATATTCCCCGCGAATCCCGCTGTCCGCGACCAGGTTCGTTTAACAACTTGCCCAGGGGCAGATTAGTCTAATAAAAGTAAACCAAAAAAATACAAAAGCACGGGAAAGCTCCGGCTAACGGGAAGTGGCAAGATCGTAATTTTTTCGTCAATCAGGGGCATCCTTTTCCTTAAAGAAAGCCCTCCCTCCCCTTATATCCCCATATAAATAGGACCCCCACCCCTCAAAATCATACGCTCATTCTTTGCGTGAGCCGCAAGGATTACGAAACTCACGAATCTTTTTATAACGCAGCCTTTTATTTTCCTTTTCCAAAAGTTTTTCATTATTCGATTCGTTTTCATGAAATCTAATATTTTGGTAATTACTTTTTCTTCTTTATTTTTATCTTTATATTGTTCTAGTATTTAAAAATTATCGATTCTTATTTTTTTTTTTATATACTGATGTATTGTTTCTGTTTTTCCTTTTAGGATCTGAGCGGAGGTTCATAAAATATTTTTTCGTCATTGGTTGATTCAAGAATTTCAAGTTTTGTATTGTAAGTGTCAATCCTTCCAATCTTTTTTTTTTTTTTTGTATTGATGATGCGATTATTATTATTATTATTATTATTATTATTATTATAGTTTTGCATGGGACTTGAATCTAAGATTTATTGGTTTTGTATTGGAATTAACATTTATATTCTTTGAGGAGATGAAAGATATAGGCTTTAATCTTGTCCTTTCAGAAAAGTTTTATGTTTTATTGAGTTTGATTTTTTTTTTTTGGATGAATAAAAATGTTTTGTTCATGTGTCTTGGATAGTATTAAAAAAAGTTTAGATATTGTGGATGATATATAGTATTGGTTGTTCCAATTGCTTGAAAATATTTTTTCTTTGTGTTGAAACTTGAAAGATTTTTTTAAATCTTGTAATTGTGTCGGAGGATCTGAGCTCATGATTATTATCGTTTGAATATAGACATTAGTATGTTGTTTTGTACTCAAAAAGCAAGAAAGATGCATTTTTTGAAACTTTTTCTGACTGGAATTTTGAATTTTTTTATGGTCTTTGTCTCAGAGCATAGATACGAAATTTCTATTGGTTTATTGAATCTCTTGTTGATATTATGTTGTATCTGATATCTTTATTTTGTTTTTAATGGTAATGTAGGTGTCTGAATGATCTAATGGAGTCCAAAGAAGGGAAAAAGAAGTCTAGTAGTAGTAAATCCTTGTTCTACGAAGCTCCTCTCGGTTACAGCATTGAAGACGTTCGACCAAACGGTGGAATCAAGAAGTTCCGATCTGCTGCGTACTCCAACGTAAGTAGTGGCCTATCTTTGAATATTGCTGATCATGAAGAGGGCCATTGCCCTTTTAATTTTATGAATCATATAATGCTGACATTCTATTTTCTTGCTTTGCAGTGCGCTCGCAAGCCCTCCTGATATACCCAAGTCTGCTGCCTGACCACTTGTAGTGGTCAATCAACTGTTATTTTCTTTAGTTAGTTTTAGATCTTTTCTTCGTCCTCTTCCTCTTCCTCTTCTCTCTTTGTTACTGTTATTTCTTTACACTTGCGATCTCCTCGATTGGCAAACCGTGTACTTTGTTCGATTCCGTGAAACTTTGAAGCTGTAGTGGTATCTCTTGGTTGACATCGCAATGGCAGTATCTGCAATTGGATTTGAGGGTTATGAAAAGAGGCTTGAAATTTCATTTTTTGAGCCTGGCCTCTTTGTTGATCCTGAAGGAAAGGGTCTTCGATCATTGTCGAAAGCACAATTAGATGAGATTCTAGGTCCAGCTGAGTGCACCATTGTTTCTTCATTGTTGAACAAGCATGTGGACTCCTATGTCCTTTCTGAGTCTAGCCTTTTTGTCTATCCTTACAAGATCATCATCAAAACCTGTGGGACAACAAAGTTGCTTCTTGCAATCCCACCCATTCTGCAGTTGGCTGGGAGTCTTTCTCTTGCGATTAAATCTGTTAGATATACTCGTGGGAGTTTTATCTCCCCTGGTGCTCAGCCGTATCCTCACCGTAACTTCTCTGAAGAAGTTGCTACCCTTGATAGCTATTTTGGGAAGCTTGGTGCTGGCAGCAAGGCCTATGTTATGGGTGACCTGGATAAACAGAATTGGCATGTGTACTCTGCTTCTGCCGAATCAGTTATCTCCAATGGCCCTATTTACACTGTAGAGATGTGCTTGACTGGTTTGGACAGGGAAATGGCTTCAGTTTTCTACAAAGACCAATCAGGCACAGCAGCTGTGATGACCATTAATTCTGGCATAAGGAAGATCCTTCCTGATTCTGAGATATGTGATTTTGATTTTGATCCCTGTGGTTATTCAATGAATGCAATTGAAGGGGCTGCAATTTCTACTATCCATGTTACACCAGAAGATGGGTTTAGCTATGCAAGCTTTGAAGCTGTGGGCTATGATCTGAAAGATATGAGTCTGAAGCAGTTGGTGGAAAGGGTGTTGGTTTGCTTCAAACCAAATGACTTTTCTATAGCGGTGCACGCCAATGTTGCGGGTGAGTCACTTGAGCAGAACTGTCTGCTGGATGTGAAAGGATACTGTTGCAGGGAGAGCAGCATTGAAGAGCTTGGAATTGGTGGTTCAATCATGTACCAGAAATTTAACAGCCCTGATAGCTGTGGGTCTCCTCGATCAACTTTGAAATGCTGTTGGAAGGAGGAAGAAGAGGAAGAATAGTTCAATGGTTTATTTCCTTTATAGTAGTTTTTATTGGTTCAATTAAATAAATTGCTCCTCAGGCATTGCCTGGGTAGAGTATGGCATGTTACCTTGTCATACTTTACAGTCAACTCGAACATTTTGCCATCATCTGTATGACAGGGTTTTAAGTTTCTATCAAACATCGTTTATTCAATGTCTTCCGTCTCTTTTTCTGTGGTTCTTGCTTTTAATCAAAGAATTAATTGATGGCCTGCATGCTTGCTGACCATTGCTCTGCTTCTATCACTGCTCCTCCTGGGGTATCCTTTTAGTTTGGAGATAGGGGGAAGGGTTGTAATTGTTAAGATTCGAATTTTAAAACTGTTGGTTCATAACTAAGCTTGGGGTTTATGATGCATTTCTCTAATATTCACCATTCTGTTTGCTTTCCAAGAAGTGAATTTTCACCATCAAATTACAAACGGCAAATTCGCTAACATTGTTAAATCTCTTTCGATTCAATGAACTTAGGCTTGAATAGACAAGATTTAGGTTCTTTATATCTGTTGGAACACAATATCAGACATATATGTTGATCAATTTAGCAGTGTTGATCAACTAATCAGTCGTGGGGGTATCTAAGTAGCAAGTGGCCTGGCGCTGCCTTTGCTAGTTTCAACCTCTTTTGTTTATACAACCTTAACTATATTATCATTTTTGAATGCTTTTAGCATATGTTAGATGCTTGAAGTTTGAACCGTTAAATTTGCTTTGCTGAAGAATACTTCGCTGACTATTCTTATTCAGACTCGGAGCAATTACCAGCTTATTGGTTGTCTTCAGGATATTGTTATTGCTGGAGCTACAAAAGAGGTTCCAATTCATCCTAAAGAACCAATACTTTTTTTTATATTCTTGTTCTGTCTGATCCCACCAGGGTTGACTTGGGCCAAGTTGCATCCATTTAAATTGCTTTCATGTTCTTTTCACCAAACAATAGGAATATGACTTTATAAAGGGCATTTTGCATTTTTCAGAAGGGAATTTGTTCTATCCCGAAGGGACCATTAAAATCTGAAGCTGGCCAACATGGACTTTGAATATGGACGTAATTACTGTGCATTTTGGGGTCTTTAAATTAAAGTGTCTAGTGATCGGGATTTCTAGTTACATTATCTTTTGTTGTTACAACTCGATGGAAATGAGGAAAGGGATTTCTGATTTATTATGTTGTCTGGCCTTTTTCTGCTTGTCGACTTCTACATTGGTTTCATCAAATCATGTCGAAGGTAACTGATGGTCCTTCTTATTGTTGTCTTCTAAATCTATATGTAAGAGAAGAAAATTCATGAATTGAATCTTCCTGTTTTGTTATGAAAAATTTTCAGTACCGGCTTTAATGGACATAAAAAGTTTCCTGGTTGATCCTCATGGGGTTCTTGACAGTTGGGATGACTCCAGTCCTGATCCATGCAGCTGGACTATGGTCACTTGCTCTCCTGATGGCCTAGTTGTTGACCTGTAAGTAGTATACATTATTACCATACATATTCATACTCATAAATTGAGAATTGATTATATCTTTACGTGAGTCAAATTTAGAGCACATATACATTATAATAGGGGAGTAAATATGGTAAAAATGATGATTTTGTTGCAGAGGAGCTCCAAGCCAGGATTTGTCTGGGACTCTTGCGCCTGCCATTGGGAACTTGACCAATATCGAGCATTTGTAAGTATACATATTCTAACCACAATAGTTTTCGACAGAATGTTTTATGAAATGAAATTTTCTACAGGCTTCTACAGAACAACCATATATCAGGACATATACCATCTGGGATAGGGAGCCTTTCTAAGCTTCAAACTCTTGATCTATCTAACAATACATTCTCTGGTCAAATTCCCAGCACCATTTCTCATTTACAAAGCCTCCAATACCTGTATGTCCTGCTGTTTGACCCTTTTTCTTTTTATTTTCTTTGTTATATATGTTTTCTGAAGTCATAGTCAATTAAACGTTAGATGGAATCTGATGATTGGTTTTTGATTTGAATTGCCATTCAGGAGGCTGAATAATAACAGTCTTTCTGGAGAAATTCCTGCTTCCTTGTCTAATTTAATGCAGCTTAAGTTTATGTAATCTCTCCACCCTATAGTTTTCTTTCCATATTGAATTTGCTATATTTTTTTAGCACGCCGTAATTTGGGATAAGGAAAAAAGTTGTAGGTGCTGGGATTTGAATCTCAGACCTGTTCGATATCACCTCTTTAGGGTGTCATATTCAGAGTAAAGATTATATAGACTTTGTTTAATTTTACAGAGACTTGTCCTTCAATAATTTTAGTGGTCATGTGCCCATATTCCCAGACAAAATGTTCAAGTAAGTTTCACTCCAAGAAACCTGGCTACCTAGCATATAATTTTTTTATTATTATTTTAGTTGCTTAATTGGTTTTTTTGGTTGATGCAGCATTGAAGGAAACCCTTATATTTGCACCGATGGAGCTGAGAAAGTTGGATGTGCAGATAGGGATACAGCATCATTGCCCAGCAGTAGCAAGGCCAAACTGACTTACCCATCAGGGATATACAATTCTGGAATTTTTTATGTAATACTTGGCTTCTTATTCTCTTGATGTATTCTCCACCATTAACTACTCTTGAGATGTTCATTCTAGGTAAATAAATCTGGAATTGTAGTAACCAACCATATGAAAATGGAATCATACCATAGAAAGTGTACTGGTGAAAGCTGCAAAGGCATGAATAGTCACTGTTAGATAATGGAACTGAAGATCAGGAGGTTGAGGAGATTGGTGTGTGTGTGTGACTATCTGGGCTAGGGTCAGGTTTGAAATTTGTGTCCTTCACAATCCATTCTTCAATCCAACAATGAATAAGAAATTAAAGCATGCTGAACACCTTTTAACTAGCATTACATATACTCCTTTCTTTGTTTATTTATTTATTTATTTTGGATAGATCCACTGTTTTATTTCATTTTAATTCTGGTTGGAAGTTGGTGCCTCCATTTTACCACTGTTTCGACTTTTCTTGTTTCATAATCTCATCTACCTTTAATGCATATAAAATTGAATCCAGTAGTAAAAACCTGATGCCATTCTCTTTGATTGGGTTTAGGGTTCATGTATTGTAGCCTTCTACCATGTCAAACTCTTGCTGAAAACTTCTTGACCTACCAAAACTCGGGATTCCAAAATTAATATTTTGACTAGGCAGGAATTCAGGATATGAATCATAGCTGGTAACTAAAAATATTTTGCCAATCAATCAATTGCATTCCAATCTTCTGTGCTGAAGCCAATATTTCTGCGTGTGTTCCCTCAACAAAATAAGGTTTTCAGGATTCTGCATGCTTTAAGTTTGCGTTTAAGCTTGTGCGCTACATTTTTCTAGTCCTTCTTGCAGAATGATGCTTTTTTAGTTTCTAAATATTCTGTACATGGCTGAAGATGTGAAATTTTGGAAATTGTCATAAATGTCACATTTGTGTAAGACTATGCGAGTTCACTAATCACTTAGAACTTATAGGACTATGGGAGAATTAAGACAGCCTTTTGGTTCTGTCTTAGTTGGATCTTTCCTGTGTGAACTTGTATATAGAATTCATTTCCATTTTATTTTCCTTAGACACGTGTTCAGAATTGCATCTCCCCTTCAAGCTAATGCCATTGGTCAGTGATTAAGTTGGGATCTCACCAGTGTTGGAGGTATCAGGACATTCCTGTTTGTTTATGCTGGCTGAACTGAACCCACTAAAAGTGTCTTAGGCAAGGAAGAATGAGGAAAATTTGAGAAGTATCTGAAATCTGAACCAATCAAACTTTGTTGCGTTGCTTTTTCTTAGACTAATCAAAACTAAGAGTATAATCTTTTCCCTCTGTCCATCTTCTTGCCTTTGACGTTGAGGGGACCGGGGAAAGATGCTGCTTTATTCACATATACAGTAAAGAAAGCAATTCAGATTGATGACATGCTTGATATTGAGTAGTTTAATTCAAAACAGGCTTTGGGCAGAAAGTGGCTTGGTACAGCACAAAGTAACTTGGTGAAAAGCAACTGGGTGTTTGACCCCTTGTTTTTGAATGTTCAAATAGGAGACCTTTAGGTTTTATAAGTTTGGACCAGACTGGCTTAAATTCAGACAGTGATTTCAGGATCGGGGCTGTCCATATCCTTTTAGATGCACCAATCGTGGTTACCGTATTTCTGAACCAAATTCAGGCACCATTACTCCTTGATATGAAGTTTTTGCAAGATCAGATGTGGAATGGAGCCAGTATGACCTGAGAATTATGAAGCAGGTGAGTGGTGACACAGTTGGATTAGAAGAACTTGGCTAATAGAATGGCATTTCAAAGGAACCTGAATCCACCATGCTGGACTGACCGTCTAGCTTTTAAAATTGTGTCCCAATTATCTGGACAATCTTTGCGGCTTCACTTGCATTGATAGGAAAATATAACCATGGATCAATCTATTCAGCTAAACCACTGGAAGCCAAAAGCTTGGTAGATCATTCTCTGTACTGGGTTCCTTCAAATTATCAAGATTGGAACATCTCTGAACAATTTTTTCAGGATAATGTCAAAAATGGTCCCTGAATTATAATCAAATATTACTATATCACATCTAAGGAGATCTAATTGATTTGTGATTGTTGACAGTTGTGTTCCACATTCGATCAATTAATAATCTGATACAAAAAAGTTTACTTCAATCACAGTCTTAGGCGTCAATTACTCAATTTTCTCCAACGGTGACAGATCTACTTTCACTGTTTTTGTCAAGAATTCTAAGCGATTTTCATAAAAGGCCACTGGGGGCAACTTTCATATGTGCCCTAGTGATGCTAAATCGGATTACCAGTTACATCAATTTAATGTTGAATGAACAAAAAATCCATATAAAATTAAATTTGTGGATTACACGAGTCATGTAACTCCATCAGCTGCAGTACTTCCATTCCAGGATTCTCTTTATAATTGGAAGATGACAAATGGATTCCAGGGTGCCATTATCCTTTGCTGATAAACAGTGAACTGTTTTCATTTGTTAATTATATGTAGTGAAGATCTTTGTTTTCTATCAGTTTGTTTGCTTTATGACTCAATTATTTTTGTCTGCATCTTGATGCTGCTACTCTTTTTTTTTCCTAATGCTTCTAAAAGAGGTTAAATCAAATCATTACAAACAGTGATTTGGTCTACAAGACATCTTTAGACTGCCATCCCTACTTTCAAATGAACTCAAGTGAACTCCCAGCAAGAAATTAAACAGATTAATTAACAAACAGCAGAAACATAGATTTGACTCAACAGTGTCCGGCTGGTATCGGAGTCTTGCCAATTTTGTTCATCAAAATGGCTATAAATGGGACCAATCTTGTATATTAGTAAATGTTCCCTAACCCTGCCTTCTTTTCACTTCTTGTTACCACTGCAATGGCTGTACATTAGCTAGTTTACATATAAAAATTGCTTTGCCTTTTTCTTAATAACATTCTAAGTCACCAAACAAGAATAGAGCGTTTGATAAATAATTCGTGAATAAGATCAGTCTTTGTTCGTTTATTAAATTTAACAAATGATCATGAGCAACAATATTTAAGAATTCGTTAATTAAACAAACAAATACGAAGATAACAAAATTTGTTCATATTTGCTTCGTGTACACGCTTAGATGGGGTGTGGCTGTGGCAGATGACCGTTGCTTTCTCTTCTCTTTACATTGGGTGGTATTAAGAATTTAGTGAATATAAAAAGGACATGCCTGAACCATAAGAGAAAAAAGTATGGCTTGCGTGAGGCATCCTAAGCTTTTAAAGGGCGCCTTTCCGAGATGGAATTTATTCTATTTGGCCCAACTTTTCTAATAGAGAAGAACTAGTAAATTCTGCACTTGATCACTCTGCCCTTTGTACATGAATCTTTGCATAACTCCTGGAGTTGGGGGTCTCTTGAATTTGTTGATATAATACTATCGATTAGGTTGAAATTTCACAAAATAAGAAGTGCTTGAGCTTGTTCTGAGATATGTTGAAATAAGAACTTAACTTCTGTTGTCTAGGTGACTTTGCTACTACTGATAAATTACTAATAGAAATATTGGCACCGTTGACAGATTATCCGATGATTTTTTATCAACAAAAAATTTTGTCAATAATTACTGACAAAAATTTAATTTTACCGATGAAAAACATTATCGACTTACTTATTACTAACGAAATTTTTTCATAAGTAATTTTGTTAGTAAAAATATTATTGACGAAGAATTAACTTTTACTAGTAGAAAATTTCATCAATAAAAGTTATATTTTTGGCAGTGAACATACAAGACAATAAAGCTGATTTCACTCCCTTCTCGGACTGCGGTTACTTTTTTTCGAAAAAAAAAGGTCGATATGACGAATTCTCTGAACTAGGTGCAAAAAAATGGAGAGTGAAGATGGAAGGGGGAAATTCAGTTGGGAGGGGGGGTGAATTGAGGGGAAACAAGGTGGGGTTATGGCGTGTCAACTATCTTGGAGGCTTTATGCTGTCTTCTTTTTGCCTTTAAGGGACAAATTCATGTGACTTTGGTATGTACAAATTGTTCAAAAGAGAGTTGCAGCCCCTCAATTCAAACACACCCTAGTGGTAAAAAAAAAAAAAGCAATTATTTCCCACTCATTTGGGTTATCCTCTTCATTTTGGATCATATGGTCAACTTCCTCTTTTTTGATTTAATCTCACTTGTTTGACTCCTTTTTGGCTCAATGACCCATGCCTGGGAATTTCTTTTGTTGATTAGATCCAAAGGTTTTCCTAACCCAAGGTGACAGAGCTCAAAATGAGCAAACAGTGGTAGGAAAATAAGTGCATGAAATAGAGCCAAAGCATGAGAGGAAATGACAGGAAAAAAAAAAACCCAGTATCTTTGTCATACTAAAAAATATGTATATATATCAAGAATCCATCAAAGAGGAATGTTTATTCAGTGGTTGAGAGACATATATATCCAACTACTGCAACTGTGTCTTTAATTCACTGGTTTTATTAAGGTAAGGACAACAAAATGAAGATGTTCAATCAAATTGGTAATTGTCCCTTTTGTCAGGTGGGGAGAAAATGTGGAACCCAATCCTGAACCCTTCAATCTAACTTGAATCTTCATGTCAAAGTCACACATTTTCTTTGTGGTTGGAATGCAATTTTCATGTATCCCAGAGGTTCATGATTGTGGAGACCTTCACCTAACATCAAAATATTGTTCATTTTGATAAAAAAATCTTATAATTTTATTTCAACACAAGATTGAAGTGTTGCAGTGGTGGTAAAATGCTAGTATCTATGGCATAAATTGTACTCAAACCCCAACTCCTGCTGTCCAAGTTCTGTTTTTCTACCTGTTGGCTTTACATTTGGGTAAAAACGCACAATCAGTAAACTTTTCATACAAATATTGGATTGATGTTTGATTTGAATTAGACTTTTTCATTATTTATAGTTGTGACATTGTTCTTCAAGTAAAAGCTGTCAGGTTCTAATTCTATGTTAATAAACCTTTGTGTCTGATCATTACTCATAACCATCCGATCAAATTTGCTTTTGCTAAAATGATCATGAAATTGCATTCACCTAGATTATTTTTTTTAATGCCCGAAGTAGAAAAAAAGAAAAAAAATGTTGTAAAGATCAAGTCAACCACACTGTGGGTAGCCATTGCACGTGGCCCAATATAAGCAATCATCAACCTTTGCTTCGACTATCATGATTTCTGTTTTGCAAGAATGGTCAACTCCAGGCTGCACCATTATCACCCTTGGCTTTTCGTCAGATGCCAATGGATGTAGATCCATTGCCATCTGTTGAAATTTAAGTAAAATTTAAGAAATCAGATTTCATATTAAAAAAAATGGAAATTATCAAACAATTTTAACAAGTATTGGAGTAATAAAGGTATATGTATGCATAGAAAGGGGGAGGGAGAGCAGCTTTTGCTTTATAAAGTTGGGTGCTTTTGGATTGTTAAATGGGGCAGTCTTTTGAATGTGGAGTGTGGAGACAAGGTGAGTGTAATAGAAACAAAAAAACAAGACCCAATACAAAAACAATGCATAAAAAAGAAAAAAAAAACAGAAAAAGTAAAAAGTAAAATGAGTGAAATAATTCACACAACAAAGATATCACGAGGAGCTATTACATAGTCCCCTCGGGATTCTCACCTTTTTTATACTAATAAGTATTATAAAGCAAAATAGGAGATGGAATTTTCTGACTAATTTTTTTTTAAACAGAAAATGGTCAACCTGAGGGAATGTTGGATTCCCCACAGGCCACAGTGGAAGGTTAGCAAATCCAATCAAAGCAATCCCAAAACTTGTTCTTTCTATCTGACACGAAAAACCTGCCTAACCCCACCTAGTAAACAAAAATTAAAAATTGATTAGGAATCTAATTACACTAAAATATACAGTGCTTAACAGTTAATAATGGGGTATTAAATGGATGATTAAAAGAAAATTTTCTTTATCAAATCAGCTTTTGATGTTATCTAGATTTGGTGAATGTTAGCTTTTATATATTCTTTCTTCTCTGCTTTTCATTGAACCAGTGACAGGCATGTTACTTCTCTCCTAGTGGCTTTTTTTTAAACTATCAGTCTCTGGTTTTCCTTGGCTCCTGGACAGGAAGATGAGAGTGAGTGGAGATTCTATTCTTTTATAGGAACCATGGGTACTGTCACTGCTTGATGTAAACATTGCAAAACAACAACACAATCCTACTTGAGCATTACTTCAGTTTGAATCTTTTCTTACAAAACTTCTACCAGCTCCTTACTGCTTCCTAGTGCCCTTCATACAAAAGAAGCTTGTTTTTTTTTTTTTTTTCTTTTACCTTGCTTTCTTGGAGCTCCAATTACTGAAGCAATGGAATTCAGGAAAGAGAAGTTTGCTTTGAGTTGTGTTGCCTTGCTCTGCTTGTGGACTTCTGCATGTGGATTGCTTTCACCAAAAGGTGTTAACTTTGAAGGTATTTGAACTTGCTTCTCATTGGGAAGAACCACATGGTGGTTGTCTGTTGAAGTGTATGTAAAGAAGGAAATTTTTAAACAGGAAATGATCCTTTTGTTGTTTTTTGAAATTTCTTTTCTTCAGTGCAAGCTTTAATGGGCATAAAAGCTTTTCTGGTTGATCCTCATGGGGCTCTTGACAATTGGGATGACGCTGCTGTTGATCCATGCAGCTGGGATATGGTCACTTGCTCTTCTGATGGTCTAGTCGTTGGCCTGTAAGTGGTACTTTAGTAAAAGATAAAAACACAAACACAATATACACTCGTTCAAACTTGAAATGACTGACAAATACACAGAAAAAGATGAATAGTTAGATTTCTACTACTTCAGGCAAAGACTAGGGGAACATACAGACATACAGCATCTGATGTGGTTGAAATGATTTTGTTACAGAGGAGCTCCAAGCCAGAATTTGTCTGGTACTCTTGCCCCTACCATCGGAAACTTGACAAATCTCCAGCTTGTGTGAGTATCAAATCTTCATCAGACAAATTGTGGCTTATAGTTTCTAGCTAGATAGAATGCCTTATTCAAGGAAAGTTTTACAGGCTCCTACAGAATAACAATATATCAGGAAATATAACATCGGAATTAGGGAAGCTGCCGAAGCTTCAAACACTTGATCTTTCCAACAACAACTTCTCCGGTCAAATTCCCGGCACTCTAACCCATTTAAAAAGCCTGCAATACCTGTAAGTAAAAATATTGAAATATTGCTATGGTTCGTTACTTAAATCAGTTTGAATCTGATGTTGGGGGGTTTCCTTTGAATTGTATCAGGAGGCTGAATAATAACAGTCTCTCAGGAGCAATACCTTCCGCCTTGGCAAACATGACTCAGCTCACTTTCCTGTAATTCTCTAAATCCTATGAATGCCAGTTATTTCATTTCCAAAGTGATTCATATCTGAGTAAGGATTATAACAATATGTGGGATCTGTCTAATTTTCCAGGGACTTGTCTTTCAATAATTTGAGTGGTCCAATGCCAGGGTTGCTTGCAAAAACATTCAAGTATGTTACTCCTAGAGTTAGCTTCTGTTTCCTGTGTTTACCCTCTCTGAAACAAGAAATTTAACTATATAGCTTTTAGTACAATTTTTGTCTATTTATTATTTGCTTACATATTTTTTAGTTGATTCAGCATTATCGGAAACCCATTGATCTGTTCCGCGGGGACTGAGCAAGACTGCTCCAGAACAAGACCAATGCCAATGTCTTTTTCCTTAAACAATTCTCAAAGTAAGAACAATTCTATTCTCTTGAATGTTTCTTCACTTTGTCCAAATCTTGAAGTTCTGTTCAAAAAGTTGTGTTACTTTTTTTTTCTAACCATTAACTACCAACCTTTTGACTTTAGCGTAAAATTCATGATTTGAGTCAGCCTATCTAGAATTTAAGATTTTTATATGTATCCTAACAGCTACTTAAAAATTACGTTACATTTCTGTTCTGTATAGACTCACAACTTTCTGGACGATCCAAGAGACACAAAATTGCTTTAGCCTTTGGCTCAAGCCTAGGCTGCATCTGCCTACTTATTCTTGGCTTTGGTTTCCTTCTTTGGTGGAGGCAAAGACATAACCAGCAAATATTCTTTGATGTTAACGGTTAGTGAAAACTGAAAAAAATCAATATACTTGTATGAGAAAAGCACATTTTTAATGAAAAAGGGCTAATTTGTCTCCATAAAACATTTCTTTTGAACATCTCAGAACAACATCAAGAAGAAGTTTGCCTTGGAAACTTGAAGAGGTTCCATTTCAAGGAACTTCAGGTAGCTACTAACAACTTCAGTAGCAAGAACTTAGTTGGAAAAGGAGGTTTTGGAAATGTATATAAAGGGTATCTCCAGGATGGAGCAGTAGTAGCCGTAAAAAGGCTTAAAGATGGAAATGCCATTGGAGGTGAAATCCAATTTCAAACTGAAGTTGAGATGATAAGCCTAGCAGTTCACCGCAACCTCCTTCGGCTCTACGGATTTTGCATGACAGCAACGGAGAGACTTTTAGTTTACCCCTACATGTCCAATGGAAGTGTTACAACTCGCCTCAAAGGTAATGCAACAGCAATAATTGCTTCTCCTTTATAACTCAGACGATGAGATTTAATCTCCTGAATTGTGGAGTCTAAGTACTAACAATCATTGCAATGAAGCAGATCACTAGATGCATATGTATGTTGATTTTGTCACCAATCTCAAATGTCCAAATAAGCCAGAATTTACCGGAGAATAATGTTGTAACTTCTGTCTTTGCAGCCAAACCAGCCTTGGATTGGGGGACAAGGAAAAGAATTGCTTTAGGAGCAGCTAGGGGCTTATTGTACTTGCACGAGCAGTGTGACCCAAAGATAATTCACAGGGATGTTAAGGCAGCAAATATACTTCTTGATGATTACTGTGAGGCCATAGTTGGAGATTTTGGATTGGCAAAGTTTTTGGATCACCGGGATTCACATGTTACAACAGCTGTGAGGGGCACTGTGGGACATATAGCCCCGGAATATCTATCAACTGGGCAGTCCTCTGAGAAAACAGATGTTTTTGGGTTTGGTATTCTTTTATTTGAGCTGATATCTGGACTGAGGGCTCTCGAATTCGGGAAGACGGCTAACCAGAAAGGAGCCATGCTTGACTGGGTGAGCTAATCGAAAAAAAAATTTTACTTGTCAGACTATTCTCACAATGTATCGAATTACAGAAATCTGATGTAGTTGGTTATTATTATTACATGCAGGTAAGAAAAATTCACCAAGAAAAGAAACTTGAGATGCTAGTTGACAAGGATCTGAAGAACAACTATGATAGGAATGAGCTTGAAGAAATGGTTCAGGTGGCACTTTTATGCACTCAATACCTTCCAAGTCATAGACCCAAGATGTCAGAAGTGGTTCGGATGCTAGAAGGTGATGGACTTGCTGAGAAGTGGGAAGCATCTCAGAGAGCTGAAGCAACCAGGTCAAGAGCCAATGAATTCTCCTCTTCAGAGAGATACTCTGATCTTACCGATGACTCTTCCTTGCTGGTTCAAGCAATGGAGCTCTCCGGACCAAGATGAGATGCACCTTTGAAAGGGGAGAAAGAATCATAAATTGTCTAAAAGAAAAAGCTTAAAACGAATCTCATGAGCCATGACAGGAACGTGTTGAAATGAACGTTTGTATAGTATCGTAATACTGGAAACTCTAAATCTGTCTCATTTCTGATTGTAAAGATTTGGATTCAAGCAAAAATTGACAAATTTAGGTTGAGTGTTACATTTTCTGCTTCTGGTGAGTGAAGAATTTTTCTGGAGATGTTTTACTGTGAGTTACTTGTAATAAAAATCCTATTCAAATGAATCTGTTTGCTCCTAAAATTTAATGCAGCCGTGGACAGGAAGTTTAAAGAGTTATCAGTGGTACTTATCACTATCCCAAATTTCAAGTTTTACACACAACAGTAAGTTCATATATGTGCATGTATCTATGCATGCATGTATACGGGATGGCATCTATAATATTTACAAAGAGAAGTTTCAGTCTAAAAGAGGAAATACTAACAGAACTACACATGATTCTCAAAGAAAATCACATATTCTCAAAACAATATGGTAGACATAAATATACAGCTTGCCTTTCTTCAGGTTATTTCCAAGATTTCCTATAAATGCATGATATCCAGATAAAAAAACTTTTCTTTAACTTTATATCAATTTGCTCAATAACATTATTATTCACATTTCAAAAGAAAATGTCACCGAAATATGCATTTGAAACCCAAGAGTTCTTTGAGATTCCAAAAGAAAGAAAAGAGCTTAGCAGATGGAAGGGCGGAATACTTAATTGTTTTCTGTTAACAAACAGACAATGCTTAATCTTGAATGAATAAAATTTCTGCTTGAGCAGAGGCCCGTCTAAACCTCAACAGCTCGATTAGCATATTCAGTCTTCCATCCATGACATATACACAAGGTGAGATACACATTGTCTCCAGCACCGGTGAATTTGCAAGAAGAAATTTGACGAACTCCATCTCATGAGGCGCACCAGACATATCTGTCATCTTCACAACTTTGAGCTGTTCAAATGTGCAATCTGAAGGGCATTCTTCCCCCCAGAAATCCAAAGCAGGTGCAACAATAGCAGCTAATGTGTTTGAGGAACCCTAAAGGAAACAATGCACAGAGAACCGGTTGGATCTTGAATGATTCAACATAAGGTAGTGTATAAAGTAGAACTAGGCGACAATATGAACCACCAATGAACATATAAAACTACAACACTCACCGAAATTTGAAGTTCCTTTAAATTAGGAGAGTTAGTAATCAAGCGAAGAACAACGAGTATCTCCTTCCTATCCTCAAAACTCACTCGATACAATTCAACTACCTTTAGATGGTTATATGTAATTGGAAGTCTTCCAGGGTCATCACCTATGCTCAAATACTTAAAGAAAGAGAAAATATAACTGACAGTACCATGGAACAAGTATAACTAAATCAACTTAACAAACCAAAGTAGAAATGTAATGTAATTTTACCTTTGTGAAATATATATGCCCAATGAGCCTTTCAAGGTTAGGTACACCACCAAGAAACCTGTTAAAATTGCAGCTTGAACTTTGCTCAAAGTGTTCAGCTATGTCATCAGTCATATACATAGTATCTGACATTGCAACTAAAAGCGGGGTATTTTCAAGACAAATGTCTTTAAATTCACCTTCTAGACACAAATACTTGAGATTTGGAGCGCGAATAGTAAGAGATAAACTATCAAAGTACGATAATGCGGAGCTCTCAAGAAGAGGGCAACTAGATATAAGACTTTCAATTGCTTCAGGGGAAACTAAAACCTGGTGAAGATTTAGACTCTTCAAGCACAAGAATCCTTTAAAACTAGGTGGAGGATCAAATTCACAACGAAAAAGCTCCAAACGGGTCAACTTTTTACAATTAAAAAGACAAGAAGGAACTCTAAACCACTCTTCTTCTGCAAATTCAAGAACCAACTCTTTCATATCATTCCTAGAAAGGAAAAGTAACCACTGATCAACATCCGGGCAGCATTGCAAGAGCCTAGTTTTAAGCTGGAACTTGCGAATCGGACCTTGGTGCAGAAAAAGAGCTCTAGTGATAAATTTTACAAGACTACCCTCAACTTCACATCGATCATTCCAAGAAATCACACATTTCTCATCAAATACAAGTTGAGTGAGCGTTGCCCATTTATACCTCCATTTACTTGATAAAATGCTAGTCCTCACAGCATCCCTTATTAGTAAACGCGTGAGGATACTTTCTATAATGTTTTGAGGTAAATCACTTATTTAAATCTGGACTCAAAGCATCATCCATCTGCATAATTTAAGTATTTATCAATCAATTGTTCGACATGTAGCCTATAGAATATTGATACTTCAAGAAAATCTTCAAGTCTGGTTAATTTTAGCTTCAAACACATAAGATTTTTTTGGGAAATTTAGGATTTAAAAAATGGGATTTTTCTAATTCATTCCATCAGTGATGGGTAATTATTTTTTAATTAATTATTTAATTTTTTATTTATATATATTTATACAATGATATTTTTAAATATTTATATTTAAAAAATAATATTTTATATTTTTAAAAAAATATTTTATATTTTTAAAAAATAATATTTTATTAATTTCGAGTTGTGTCGAATATAGTTTATATAATATCGGATCAAGATTAAGTATGAAAAAAATAAAAAAAAAATTGGTAGGATTAGATTCGGAGTGAGCAAAACCCACTCCGAACTTGATCCGATGTCAACTCTAATTTAGTCGGTTATTATAACATTCTCTTGTTGACTTAATAGTAGCAGATAGTTTCACCCATTATTACTAAATCAAAATTTTGTGCAATCTGTTCACTTTGGTAGCATTATAAGCATCTCTAATCTCTCTCTTTCACAAAGGAAGGCCAATCGTTTTATTAGGCTTGTGTCATTATATGCAATGTTTACATCTCGAGCCAACCTGCTGCCTTGCCATGCAATCGTAGCTTCATCCTGAATGAATAATGCTCAACAATGATTCTTAAGCATGCTTTGTTAAATATTCTGATTAAAAAGGATAACAAATAACAAATGTCAATTGTGTGCAGATCAAGAGTAACATGATGAGCATTTAAAGGAAGGGCCAAAACGGGCCAGCAATCTAAGTCGAAATCGGCTCCCAGACTCCCGACCCAGTGCCCGAATTTTGAGAAGGTTCCTGGATCTCGCCCCAATCAAGTCCTAACACGTAATTTGACTGGGGAGAAATCCCCATGAAGTGAAAAAAAATAGAAATTGCCAGAGCACCCTTCGGTACCAAACCCTCAAAGAGAACCTTGAAAGCATTGTGTTGTTTGCTCCCAGTAACTCTTAATGATTCGGCTTTCACTGTCTTTCCCGAGTAGAAGAACAATGCAGCAAAAGACTTGGTGGGACAAAAGAAAATCTTAAAAGGACATGGAATGTGAAAAGCAATCCAGAGGATTGAATCAGTCTCGGGTTAAAAATCCTCTAGGAAGATTTCTAGGATTGATTTAGATGGGAGGTGAGATTGATTTTTAAAAAAATAATAAAAGTTAGATGTGCTTGAAAAAAAAAAAGAATTACTATTGATGTGATTTAAAAAAAATAATAAAAATTTATATTAAATGTATTTCATTAAAATTTAAATTTAAATTCAATCGAAGGCGATGAAAGTTTTACTGCACTGTGGTTAAAACTCGAGGAACTTTAATAGGCTTTGCACCACTCAACCATGTTTTTCCTTCTTTTACTTGCTTGCTGAGACCTCTCTCCAAGTCTCTTATGCTGGAGATTATTAACGTTTTCTAACCGACGCATGATTTGTCGTTGTCCCCATGCAACAGCAGAAATCTGCTTCATCGGACATTAGAGCACAAAAATTTTAGGCAAATCAACTAGCTACGAAACTTCAAAAGAATAAATGTATACTCGAGCAGATATAGGATAATTGCACCAGTACTGCGAGCTCCTAGCCATTGATGCTTCAGAATTATTTCAGACCCTTGAGAACCAAGATTAGCTCTGAATGGAAATATAATCCATGCCTAACAGTGTCCAACTTTTCCCATTCAGAAGAAAAAAATGACACCATTTTTAACAAAGTATAAAACAGAAACAAGAAAAATACCTACCAAAACCTCTATTCTAACACGTTATTTGGATCTGAAACAACCACCTTTACCCCCCAAAAGATAATGATTACCCAGATTACAGAATGGCAAAACAAGCAATACCCAGATTCTAGAATTAAAAATTAAATCAAATTAATAAAAAAAAAGAAATTTTTGGCATTGATGACGAGTGTAGTTACTGAGTCACACTGAGTTCACCGTTTCTCCATACATAATAAATATTCAAAATTGGTTATTCTATTTCTCTCGTTTCCTTCCCCGGAATAGAAATGAATGTTATTTTCCTGGATTGCTTTTTTTTTTTTCTGGGAAGTTGGGAATTCTAGAGAATCTGCGAAGTGAAAAACTTTCCCGAGAATGGATTCACATAAAGGAAGAAAGAGAAAGCTATTTAATATAACTTTCAATTAACTAAATAAATGTTAGGTGCCATTCACTCAATCCTGGAAGCCAAGTCTTTGTGTCTGTTTCCAATATTTTTTTCCTCCAAACCAAACATACAATCGTTGGCAGCGAGGAGCGGGGAGATTGAACCATGATTTCTCAATCTGTCAGACCAATATCTTACATAAATATATTTCATAATTCATATATGTATTAATTTGTTTAAATAAAGACAAATGGTTCTTGAACTGAACTAAGGCTCAAATATTATTTTGGGTTTTAATCTCTAAAAAATTTTATATTGATATCCAATTACCAAATTGTGTATTGTTTTAATTTTTCTGCCTGCAAATTTATCCATTCTGAGTTAAATTTTAGCTGAAATCATGTGGATTATACATGATACTAATTGGCTAACGATGTATTGAAAAAATATAGATTAATAATAATTGATAATATCGATTAATTAATAATCATCCACATTTTAAAAAAATACATATTTTTTCTTTTTCTCTCGTCTAGTTTGCACGAACAAGGGTTTGGTCCAGCCCAATCAATGTCATGACGTTAGGTTTTCATTTTATTAAATTTAATAAATGAATATAAAAAAATAAAAATTAAATATATTCACAATCAGTTTGTCAAAACTTTTATTCATTTGTATCTCTATATGATCCAGAATGATCTCAATTATCGTTGATTTTGATTTGCTCGCATGTAATAAATTTTCTTTAAATTTAGATCAAATTGATCATAAAAAATAGCATGAGGATCAAATTGACTCAAATAAAAATAAAAGAGTTAAAATGACTCATTTTGCATAATTTGAGAGTCAAATTTATCATTATACAAAAAAAAAAACATTTTTAATATAGGCCAAATGCATTGCATATTTGTTTAGAAGAAGAAGAAGAAAAAAAAAAAAAACTAAACCAAACTTAAAAATTTTATGTGAAGCTATTTACAAATTAAAAACTTCTTAGGCATGAAAAAATATAATTGAATTTTTTTTTTAATTTTTGAACCACAATTAGAGTTCGAATTTAAACCTTCAATCTTAAAATCGATTTACTTTACATTAACAGTTCATTGAATTTAAAATCTTTATATACATCCACCTAGCTCAAAGTGGCTAAAGGGATCACTTTTCAGAAGCAATTTTCAGTAGGAGAATCACTTTTTTTTTTTAATATATAGTTGGTTTTGAATGAATCTTACAGAAACTTCAATTTCCATTTCTTTGTAAAAGGAAACGATTTTTTTCAACAATTCATGAAAACTGTAACTTATAAAAACTTTATTTTTTCTTCTCGACACAAACAAACAATTCTACAATATAATTCATTAACAAATACTGGTGTTTTTGCAGCTCTTCAAGTGTTGACAAATCTGCAATTCTTCCTTACTTCACCAGTGACAAAGCTATCCGAATTCGCAATGTTTCCCATTTTCACCATTGAATCTGAGAACTGATTGAAGAAAGCAACAGGGTCCTCTGCATATCTCTGGACAAGTTTTTTCGTTTCGATTCCGAAAATGCTGGAGTACATTTCTTGGTCTGAGTTAAGCAATCCTTCCCCTCTCAGCAGTACATGGTAAAAGGAATTGTCGAAAAGATTTGGTGTAACATAGTCCATTGCTGTTATGTTATTGTCTCCTGATCCAGTTGCAGGGCAAATGGATTTCAAGTTGCTAAGATATGACTCGGATAATGGATTCGTCCCTGAAGTTGCTTCAAAGTCTCCATAAATTCTAGCGCGAAAATTCTCACAACGTGCCATGCCAATGGTATGAGCCCCTGGAAGTCATTTGCATAGAACCAACAACAATTCTATTATTTGTTTTTTTATGGTAAAAAGAGGCCATAGCTTGGGGATAGGGAGAAGGTAGCTACATAAACCAAGTTAAATTCCAGATTTTATTATTTGGTTTTATACATACATATCCAACAACAATTCTATTATTTGTTTTTTTATGGTAAAAAGAGGCCATAGCTTGGGGATAGGGAGAAGGTAGCTACATAACCAAGTTAAATTCCAGATTTTATTATTTGGTTTTATACATACATATTATAGAGTTTGCTTGAGGAAAATGAGTATTTTTTTATTGTAATAAGAGCTTACCAGCAAGAGCCACCATATCAGTCACTGAGAGACCTTGATATAGAAATTTGGATATGATACTGAGAAGATCCTCATTAGCAGAAGGAAGGTTTTCACTAGCTAGATCATAGCTAGCTGTTGTTGAATCCTTTCTTCCCACTGGTACATCCCAGTCAGGTCCACCAACCTGGAAAGAATTAGACCAAAAAAATGAGGCCAACTCGAGAACTTAGAAAATTCAGTGTACAGGCTTTTAACTTGTAAAAAGGTTTTTACCAGAATCACAGCATCTCTGGCAGCAATGGTGAGGATATCAGCGCAGGAAACAATTCCGGGACACTCAGATTCAAGCTTGTTCTTAATCCTGTCAATGATTCCATAACCTTGTAGAGAGTTTACGTTTGCTAAAGCTTTCTTTTCTCCTTGTAAGCTTATTGTATCATCAAGCAAAATTGACCCATCACAACCCTGCACAAATCATATTCATAAATGTAAATGTTTTTTTCATTTTTGCTTCTCTTCCTCCAACTAATTTGAGAATATTTTCATTGAAATGTGTATCTGTCTCAAGTAACCTGAACAAAACAATCGTGGAAATGTAATCGAACGATGAATGCTGCATTGCGAGGATCAGAGAGTACTTGGCACTCCATTTCTTTCTTCACAATCTCAAACACAGTCGGACATGTTGATCTGTAGTAATCCAATGTCAAGGGAGGGTCAGTACTTGCAAAAATGGTAGAGCTGAAAATGGAGACACAAATCAAAACCATGGAACATTGCAGACTGATCAGGGAAGGGCAATACGCCATTCTTTTGTTGCTGTGATTTCTTTTCTTGAATCAATGGATAGATCGAGTGAGGAGAAATTGGTGGGACTGGAAGATATATAAGGGAGAAAGAATGTGGAAAGTTTTGAAGCTTTTTCCTTTTGCCATAGTCGTTTGAGTGTAATTAGTCAAGAGAGGATGCAACTAATGTTGGCCTGGTTGGTGAGTGCTCTCAAACCAAAAGTTACAACTCTGACAGATTCAAAAACGTCCTCCTTGTCTCAAATTAAATTACTTGAACAGGTTTTTGGGCCAGCCACCAAACCATAAACTGATAACAGCAAATGTTTACAATAATTTTTTTACTTCACTTTCAAACAAGCTGCAGTCTCCTATTACCAGCTGATGGTTGGCTCAAGAGACAAAAAGAAGCGTGCTATACTCTTTCTTGTCTGTTAAAAGATTATGAGAAAATAATTTTTCATGAATTCATTAGGTCCAACATAAATAAGTTTATTTGAATTAACCCAAGAACCCTTACTACTCAAGAAAAGAAAGCAGCAGTCTCCTGTTTATAATTATCTTGCAATTTGGAGCCTTTTGGTAAAAGGGTCGACATAATCTACATTGACAAAAGGAAAACATGTGATGATCTAATCAAATTTGTTTCCGTTATACAACATAGACTTAATTAGTTGAACAAGATTTTGTTTTTTAATGTCATCAAAGTTCAATTTACACGTTATTGCCCGTTGCCTTGTTTCACAAACAAGAATAATACTTAAGAACACTCTTTCTTGTATTTTCATTTTTCACTTGCTTTTCTGTGGGAATAAAAATCTAGAATGGGAGAGAAAATGCATCCAAAATCGTGATCCTAATTCTTGAAGTGCAAGAGATTAATAATCAACTCTGTGCAGACTTATCATTCAAAATTGACTTTGTCTTCGAAGTATCCCAGTATTGCAAGAATGCAGAGATCACACCAAATCACACCAATTTCTTTTGAATTCTTTTTCTTTGTTTTCATAAATTGAATACAATATGAAAGAGATTAAAATTTAATCCATAAAACCCTTTTTTCTAGCTAGTTTTGTTTGATCCAACAGCTCAAATGAAAGTGCAAAAAGAATAGAAACTGGTTGGGAGTGTTTGGTTTTTACACCTAATTTTCGTTTGATTTAGTGTCAAGAAAAAAGACTAAATCAAACTTTGCAGTTTGCTTTCAGATTCCTTTCAAATGGAACTACACCATACACGCCCCACTTTCATCCTTCAGCTTGTCTTCCGGTCTTTCTAGTTTGCCTTTTGCCGACATAGAAAAGGAATTGCCATAAACTGAATGATATTCACAAGTTGTAGCAAAAACTTTGGCAGTGCAACTGTAACAGTAGGTCCTCAATCCAGGCAAAAAGGCCTTTCTCCAGATGGCAAACAGGTCCATAGGAAACTAATGCTTTCAATTTACTGGCAAAACCCAGCTTTCTATGCTTCATTATTCGACAAAGATTGAAGGAGACATGAAAAGACCACTCAATAAGAAAATGTTGCATCCTCAGTTCCAAACCAAGTAAGACCATCCAACGTATTAATGTCAAAGGAAAAGGCCTAATCTTAGGCTGATAATTTCAAGACTGACATAACATGTCTTGGAACAAGAGCATATTTATTAAAATTAGCAAGGAATAGAGTGAGCAACATCAACAACAAATAATTTAGGCAAATGTGCAATCAGATTTTAACTTCTTATGACTTGTAAAGCAGATGACTGCTTTCCATAGGCGTCAGATTGTTTCAATGTAATTCTAACACACATTGGTCATTACATGTAAGACAAAGGACAAACAGAAATAAGTTCAGAAGTTTTTATGCAAAAGAAAAACTTTTGACAGCACATGTCAAACAGGGAGAAGAAATGTCAAGAAAGGAATAAAAACATAAAGCTATCCCCCCTTTTTGTGTGTGTGAATGGATAATCCCAGTTTCACTATGTATACAATTCAGTATCATAAGGCTGATGCTTAATTCGATTGAACCTTGCATATTGATCCTGCAGGACCTTCACCTCTCCCTTCAAGCTCAAGTCCAAGCTAGGCAGCACATTCCTTTGCAGAAGAGATCTAATCAGAGCCACCACAGAACTACCGAATTCAGGCCATGAAACACACAACGTTCCCTTTATGTTCTTCAATTGGCACCGACTCAACAGAGCAGCAGCCAGGCCATCAATCATACTACCTGATGGAAAATACTCTAAACCCTTTAGCAGTGAGGAACCTACATTGACACCACCCAATGCTTTTCTTTCTGCTAATGTCTCCAGCTTAAAAGCATATGTTTCATCTGGTGAGAGCTTGCCCCTGAAGTTCTGGCTCTGAATTGAATCCAAAATTAGAACCCTCTCAGGAACAATATCCTCACCTATCAGCAACCTTGCAACAAGGTGAGATCTCTCTGTGCAGACACCATGTTGAACTGATACAAGCAGGGTAGAATTATCCCCATCATTGAGGGAATAAATATTGCAAGTTTTGTCTCCCAGGGAGGGTTCGACGGAGATGCCAGAGAAAGGGATCTCAGGAAGGATAAGACTTCCAATTAAGGTCTTAGGTGACAAACGGTGGAAGATAAACAAAGATGGAGAAGATTTCGCGATGATGAGGATAGATGGACGAAGAGGCTTATTAGGCTTGGGGTTAGAAAGCACAAGGAAGGGCAACGGAAGAGATGGAGATGGAGGTACAAAGTTGTTAAGATCTTCCTGAAAGAATCTCGAAGGTGGGGGTATTTCTGTTATGACATCTTCCATTGTTACAATTTAAAAATCAAGTTCTGCGCACTGCCAAATTACAGAAACAGAAACATTATCAGCATCAATCTCCAAATTCAAAAATGACAGTTGGACCAAGTCACCCAGCTAAAGTATAAGAGATTGAAAAAAAATCCAATTTTCGATAAAGATTATAAATGTCTAAGAATCAAAATTTGTTGGTTTCTACTAGAATAAACTATGAATATTATCTTTTCAGCATTTCCGGAATAATGGATAGTCCAAAATCAATAAAATTTCATAGTACACCTAATTAAACCACTAAAAAATTAAAAATTAAAAATGGGTTACTTCCATAAGCAACCCTGAAGGTAACCTTCACCCATACAGTCATTAAATCACCCTTTTTCCCCCTCGTTCAAAGAAACGCAGTTTTGAACCCGAAACTTAAGTCAGTTGGTTCATGTAACCAGGTGACATTCAACAGATCTAAGGTTCAAATCCCAGACAATGCAACCCTCCAATGCAAAAAAATTTTTTTTTTTCCTTTTATCATTTTCTCAAATATTTTTGACTAGGAAAGTTGAAAAGTTTATCTGTCTAAACAAGAAATCTATACAATAACTGCACTGATTTGTTTTACGTTCAGACCCTCAAATAAAGCAAAGATTTTTCTTTTTAAAAACTGAAGGGTAAGCAAAGGGAAGCGATGAAAAAGGAATTAAAAACTAAGACAGGTAAAGAAAAAAAGTCAAGATTTTGCTTGGAGTTTCGATGAAAAAGGAGGCAGAAGAAAAAGAACCTACCAGAGATTAAACGGCGACTTCGTTCAGAAGAGGGGCTCTGTGCCTCTCTCAGTATTTCGTCCAAAAGGGAGAAAAAAGCTAGTGACCTCTCGGCCAAGTTAGGTTTTTGGGGTTTTTTTTTTTTTAGACCTTTTTGTTTCTCCCACTCCCCAACCGTAGGCCTTGGCCCAGCCCAAAATTACATGAGCCAAGATAGCAAAGAAAAAGACTGGTGTACGTTGAAAACATTAAGATAGCAGTTGTGCTTCACAAATGGTATTCTTCCCCATGTTTTTCTCTGCACTGCTTGATGGCCTTAAATGAGAGCTACACCTTCTTGGCCTCTTGACATTGCAGAGTCAGGGATCAAATTCTGGCCCCATAGATGATCCAACCTAAAGTTGGAACATGGTCATTGGGTCAAAAATCATGTCTCTCTACTCTCTGGACTAGGAATCTTTTGAATTGGGCTTTGCTAGATATGGAAACTTAAGCCTCAACTTTGTGAAGATCGAACGTGGGTTCTTTTCCAAATAACCTTCAATGTTCCTCTTCAATGAATATTGGTCTAGAATGCGAAACAGGTTTCATTGGAGGAACCAGGATATTGATGAATGCCAGTTCCTAAGATAAATTACCCACCTCTCATAACATTTCTTGTCCAAGAATACAATAATAGAATCAGTTTTTTATTGGCCAATTGCTGCTAAAATCACCATTACCGCTCTAGAGCTGAAAGATTGGAAGATAGTGGCAGTTAGAGGCAAGTAATGGGAGTAATAACAATTTCAGTACCACTAAGTGCTACTTGTTTTTTTTTTCTTTTCTTTTCTCAGTATAATTTTTGTTTCTTTCACCCTTTCCAGAGTAGAGTTGAGTTTGGGATAATCGGCAATGCGGCTCAATTATTTGCATGCCTGGCTGCAACTGAAGTTGGTTAATCACAGGCTTCAAAGCAAAACCTAAGAAAAAAGCTATACCACAATTCGAGTAAAAAATCAGCGTGGCATCTAACTATCTTAGCAGTTAGCCCTCATCTCCCAAAGAAGATATTAGTGACAATTTGCAACGGCAGGGGAATTGAGAGGTCCCCTACCTCCAAAATGGAAAAAATGGCAGAGTGAGGGGGACTCCCTCAGCCCCTCTTGCATAGAGCCGTCCCCCACTTATCCACTGTCCCTTAGAATTTCACCCCAATCCCAAATTTATCTAATAAATAATTGATACTTGGAGAACTGCAATTAGAGAGAGACTTTCTGAAGAAAATTTTATGCTGTATTTTCATGGTTATAAGAAGTTTAAAATGCAGCAGCTTACATTATTTTCACCTGGAATGGCTTGATCAGGTCAGGCCTTGAGTGAATCATCTCTTGCAGTTTGTCAATGACTAATCACATTATGAAACAGGTCTTCAGATCACCTGTCTAATCTGTTCAAGTGAAATTGAAAGCCATTATTTCTAGGTGAATGTCTTCATTTTCATACAACCAACAAACATACTTCATTCTAAATCACATATCATGTGATTTATAATTTAAGATACTTCAGTTGAAATCTTTGCAGCCAGCAATATTCCAAAAAACTGGAAAGGTTCTGGACTTGATCTCAGTTAGACAGGCTTGCACCCCTGGACTCTGGCAAATGTAAAAGTGATTCTATGATCAATATGTAAACAGCAGATATCAAGAAAACAAGAAAAACAATAAATAATCAACAGTTTTTTCATTTTTGCATTGTTTTAAATGTGGTAACATATATATTCAGATGTTCAAAAGCAAACGTCAAGATGAAATTAATGAGAAACGTTTCCTGTTTGGGTCCATGCTGTCTAATTAGGAAAAGGGGAACCTCCAAAGAATTATGGTCACATGGATCCCCGAAAAGGTGAGCATTAGAAAGCAAGAATGAAGCAAGGGCCCTCACTAGACCAACTTAAGCACAAACAAGTCTGAGAAAGGATTAAAAAAAGGCAGAAAAACATGGGGATTCCAACTTAATGATGAGCAAGGCATGCTCATTAAGTAACATGGTTAGATGAATTAGGGACAAACACTTTATAAAAGTCAAGAATTACAACAGCTACTTGCATCTCTAAAGCTTGGTATTGATGTTATAAATGTTATTAATAAGCTGCAGCCCTTTGAAAAGTTACTGCTACTAACATCTTCCCAAGTAACAAAAAGACATGAGGCTGCTTTTGGGAAAGACAAACAGAAGGCAAGAAGCTGAAACAACCTTTTGCGAACATCATACACTCCCATGCAATACAAAGTGCCAAAATCCCGCTGTTGGGTTCTTTGCAATATTTTAAAGGAAAAGGCAGGTCCTTGTTCATGATAAGACAGAGAATTAAAAAGGAGTGAATAATGTGAACATTGAGGAAATAACGAAGAGGTACTGTTCTAACCTATCTAAGAAAATTGTCCAAATATTCTCCTTGTTTGTGTCGAGAATAATGACTCAAATATTATAAGAGATTTGTTTAAAATTTATTAGAGATTTATCAAATATTACTTGATGGATAAAAAATTTGTAAAAAAAAAATTTAAGAGAAAAAAATTCTTAATAAGTAAGTTTGACTTACAAGAAAAGAATTTTAAAAGAAAAAAGATTTTTAATAGGTAAATTTAACTTACAAGAGAAGAATTCTAAAAGGAGAAGGATTCTTAATGGGTAAGTTTATATGGTTATAAATAGATGAAGTCTTTACAAGATTAGATATAAGAAAAAGATGTAAAAGAGTTGTAAGGTTTTATGTGATAGACACTCATAGGAGTATTGGGGCTCTATGTTTTATGGGTGTGTATGTTTGTTTGTGACTTTATGTCTTATGGGTGTGTATATTTGTTTGTAAGTGAATTAGAACGACTGAGAGGGTTCACATAAGTATAATGTATGGGAGCATATGAGTATGTTTGGTTATGTTGAAAGGGTGCACAAAGGTTTGGGTTTGTGTTTGTGTTTGTTTGGGTTGAGAATATTTCATAAGACTAGAGAAGATTGAAAGTGTCTTATGAGTATTGATTGTTGAGTGAGGTTGATTATTTGAGTATATTTATAATTTTCTACAATTAGTGGATCTTATTTTTTATCCGTGAATGTAGGTCAATTAGATTGAATTACGTTAAATTATTATCTCTTGTATATTTAATTTATTATTTAATTTTATTTTCGTTAATGTAATTAGATTGAAGACTTTTAGCTCAACAATTTGTTAGGTGTGGGCTCATTTTTCTCATTTCATTTCCATCTAAGTAACCAAGTGAATTACAGTTGTTCTTTACTTCTTCCATGTTTAAGAACTTGGATTTTTATCACATTTAAGAGATGCAGTAACATATTTATCACCAAAAGTTTGTCTTCTAGTGATTAAATTCAGAGAAGTAATGATGCTAGGATTACTCTAGCCATTGATCACAAAAGCTGTGTGAGCAGTGTCAGGATTAGGTTCCTTCGACCGATGTATGTAAAGCTGTATTTGTTTGAAGGGCACGACTAAAGAGAGACAAAGATATAAGTCCACTTTGTAATAGAAATATTTAACAAGTTTCTTACCCAAGTCTTTTCTCTTTTTTGGTTTAGCTCTCCATCCTGTCCGCTGGCTCTAGGGGCTACCGCTGCCATGGAGGCTTCTCACAACACCAGGGGCTTGGAAGATGAACAACATGGCAGCAGTGAGTCTGGTTGGACCATGTATATTGGCTCCTCCATCCATGAAAATGATCACTACGATTTCATTGGTGAGTACAGTTATAATACTTCTAAGCAGGTAGAAGGCTACAACAAGAATCGGTGTCCCAAGTATGATGGCAATGGCCACAATGATGATGAGAGTGATGACTCAATGGCTTCAGACGCCTCTTCTGGCCCAATTCTTCACCAACTTCCATCCAGCAGTGACCAAAATTTGGGGATGGATTATTACAAGCATGAACCTTTTAAGTCCTTCTCAGCAGAAAAACTTCACAAACAGGTGATCAAAAGGGACCAAAGAAGAAACAAATTTGGGAAGGAAAAATTAGAGCTTAAGGCACTTAGTGCTGCTAGTCATGCTCAAAGCAGAGACAAAGTGAAGATAACCAACAATTTGAGGCTGAAAGAATAGGTATGTCTCAAATTTCCCAGTCATCTTAGAATGTTGCCCAGCACTCTTTTAGCAAAGAATGTCTGATTATTCTGTTGTAGGATTTCAGAAAACCAGTATGAATGTTGAAAGTGAATGAATGTCTTGAGAATCTCATAGTTGTTTTATGATGAAACATATTACATATGTCAGGATGTTTATTGTGTTCTATGTAACATATGAACTTTGATAATTGTTTTTGCTGTTCTTGTCTTCATAATCATTGTGAATGTTGCTTAGTGTATTAAATTCTCCTTTGCTGCATGAGAATTGAAAGAGCTAGATGTTGGATGTGACATACATGTATATGTATATGTATATGTATATGCATATGTATATGCATATGTACTAATGAATTCCTGAGCAATAACCCAGTAAAGCATAAAAAAAGCCTAGACTTTCCATGTTTTCTTCTGTTTAATATTCTGAGTCAGGTTCTGATATACATGAAAACAAGATGAATAGAATTCAACTCTTGCTCCGAAAAAATTGGAGAATGCCTACTCCACGTTATAAAGCACAAGCACTACTGCACGTACAAAATGTCTATAGAGTGGTGGTTGTAGACCGATGGAAACTCAACAACATATACCGTGGAAGGAGGAAGTATAATAGTGATTCAGTTCTCAACAAGCACCCTTCAAAACCGAAGGAAAATGTAAAAGCACTTATTCTGCGGAAGGGGTAGACAATTAAAGTACGAGTAAGCCAGCAGGACTTGAACAGGTAGATGAACAAAAGAATAAATGATAGGATTATGTGCAAACAATTGAATTAAGTTAATATCATTGCAAGATAACAAAAATGAAATACAATGGTCCTTGAGCCATTAAGCAGTACAAGTTCAATGACAGTGGTTCACTGACACAGGTTGACCTCAATCCACAACAGAAAACTATTAGATTTTTTACTGTCTACGAACATCACTTTATAGGCCTTTCATTAGAGAGCTTCCAAACTGATTTCAGTAAATCATAGGCCTCCGCAATCAGCTGCATATCACCATATTCAGTCCCATTGTGAACCATCTTAACAAAATTGCCAGATCCTCCTTCGCTAATCTAAGTGACACATGGACTATTGTCAGGAACCTGAGCAGCAACCTTAAGAAGGATATCTTCTAAATATTTATAAGCCTCGTAGGAACCTCCAGGCATCAATGAAGGTCCGTGCCCAGCACCCTCTTAAGCACCAGAAACTCCCATTCCAAGAGAAAGCAGTCCCAATTCTGCCATAGCTTTCCCTCTCCTCTCACTGTTTTCATACCACTCATTATCCCCATCAGTGATGCAATCTCTTTTCTCCAAGTAAATCGATGAAGTTTTAATGGTTTGATCAACTGGAGGTCCAGCCTTCACAAGCATAATTATGACACGTGGTTTCTGGATTGAACGAACACAAGATTCTGGATCATGAAATCCATATAAAGGGAGATTCCTTCTCGTTAAGCTCTTTCTACTGTCTCATCAACTTTTCAAGTGGTCCAGTTGTAAACAGAAATTGGGAATCCTTTCTCAGCAATGCTTAGGGCAAGATTTTGGCCCATGACAGCAAGGCCAATTCTAGTAGGGCAACCATTATAATCTACTTGATAAGAAAATTCAACATCATACGTTAAATGGAAACTATATACAATTATTCACAGAATCTATATACAAAATTAAAGAGACAACAAGCTTTGCATGTGGATTGAGGCCAACTCTTTGTAGACGTGGGGACACTGAAATGTAAAGGCTGCTCCAATAGATACACCAAAACATAGATTTGTAATGACAACACAAATTCTCATTGCACAACAGACCTACAACACAAATTGAAGCCAGCCAAAACAGATTAAGAAAATAGATAAATGTAATGCATCTATAAGATTCAGTAACAATGACACAACTCAACAGATGACACTACTTTACAATGATGAAAGAGGTAGCTTTGAAACTTCTGGAAAAAGACTCACAGGCAGAATTTATTTTCTTGCATTTAGGAGTAGCAGTTAGTTTCATTTTCCGTTTCTTTGACACCAGGTGTCTTAAAACAAATTTGTAATTCAACTCATTTTTACCTACAAATAATGACACAAGTGGAAGAAGTGTAGAATCTGGTTTCTAAGCCAAGTTCAAAACAAAACATATTGACTGAGAGCAAATCACTATGCGAGCCATAGAAGATCAGGAAGCTCTACATATCTTTTCTGTGCTTCAAAAAGACATGAACCAAAGTTTTCCTAGATGACGTTATTAATATTAAGAGCCAAGTGACCAGGCTGACTGAATAACTCAATAGCCTTTTTATGAAAATCGTACAAATTTTATTTTCACATGTGTTATGTGCGTGATTAAATGGTAATTAAATCTAAGCTAAAGTCCTTTAGAAGCTAGGATCAGTCTTCAAAGTGGAATCACATTCTTAAGTTTCTGTCTATAGTTGGAGGGTTGTTCCAGGAATTAGTATATATATCATTATCTTATGTGTATCCAAGTCAGTATTATTATTATTATGTTTATTTCAATAAAATTGAGAGCCTTGGCAGAAGTTCTACAATCTTTCTTTGTATCCTAGGTGAACACCTCATGGTATCAGGACCAGTTAATTTATCATCAAGAGCGTACTTGTATTTGCCTCTAATGTCCCAGGCTCCAAATGAATAACCTACGCTGAAGGGCGAGGATATCCTGAACTTACAAAACTCCTTAAACTCAACCTCTGCATCATTGCAATATCAAATGATGTGAATCTATCATAGGATAAGCTTCAAGTTTCGAAAGAAACTAGGATACGAATTCTAACATCAAATGCATAATTCTGCACAACTGTGATTCTCATTACAGAAACAAAAGGAAAGACATCAACTTTAATGTCTTAAGAAGAATTTATCACAAGTTTTAAATTTAATGGTTCCATAACAAAGAAGCACTAACCTGTAAAGCATCAGCCTAAACATTTGAGAAATAAGATACTAACAAGAGGATAAGATATGTGCATTATTACATTACAAACCTATCAAAGACATGTTTTTTAAGATCAAAAGATGTAAAAAATGACAACCCAGATAAGTGATTCAAGAAAATATGCATTTGCGTACACATAATAAAAGATAAAGCAAGCATCTTTTACCTCTAAAAACAGCCAAAGGTATGGGAAACTTGAAGTGGGTTTTGCACAGGTGAGAAGAATCTGACTGGAAATTGCTTGTTTTTATAACATCAGGAAATGTTCGGTGTGAGCAGAGTGAAGTTGTCCCACATAGAGGTTTAAGCTTTGGGAATTGAATTGTTGTGTTTTTTACTTCCTGGTTTGGTTGGATTTTTATGGGAGTTGGTGGTTTTGTTTTTATCAGGTTCATGGACCAACAAGCAATCAAATCGGAGGCCTTTAGAACTATTTGCACGGAAGATTAGAATTTCAAACAAATAGACAAATGGATTCAGTTGAGTAAATAGGAAACTTTTACTTTGGGGACAATATGCAATTTCAACAAAAATCTGGGCCTTTTGGCAATCCCAAATTCCCAAAACAGAATAGAAATTATTGCTACTACTTTTATTTTATTTTATTTTGATAAAGATAATGCATTATATGATAAATATTTTTTAAAATATTAAATAATTGATATTTTTTATTATCAAAAAAAAAAGCCCACAATTTCCAACCAATCCTATTAGTTTTCACTTCCCAAGACCCAACCAACCAACCGCCATTAACAGCCACCGGATCTAAAACAAAACAGGAACAATGAACATCAGCCGCATTATCCACTCGCCCCATTGTCCCCCAAACTATGCTTTCACGTGGCATAATCTCCCACTTCCGAACCCCCACCCTCCCTCTCCCAAGAACAACATGCAAATACTCCATCTCCGACCAAGACCTCGAGTCACGAGGCTTTCTCGTCCGCCGCACCATCTCCGACCTTAACCTCGGCCACCTTAACTCCATCTTCGTAGCCGTGGGATTCCCTAGGCGTGACCCAGAAAAGATCAAGCTGGCTCTGGAACACACGGAATCCATGCTTTGGGTTGAGTACAAGAAGACCCAGAAACCCGTTGCCTTTGCCAGAGCTACTGGTGACGGGGTTTTCAATGCAATAATATGGGACGTGGTGGTGGACCCTTCATTCCAGGGAATGGGGCTTGGCAAAGCTGTGATGGAACGGTTGATTGAGGACTTGTTGGAGAAGGGTGTTTGTAACATTGCATTGTACTCGGAGCCAAGGGTGTTGGGGTTTTATCGGCCTCTTGGTTTTGTGGCTGACCCTGGTGGAATCCGAGGCATGGTTTACTCTAGAAAGCAGAAAAAGAAGAAATAATTCTCAAGTCATCTTTTGATTCTTCATTTTCTCCAAGAGCTTGTAAAAGTCTAAATTCCAGCATCTTGTGTGTAAGAAATAATCCATACTCAAAATAGCTCATAATAGAATAAATTCTGGCTTATTGCTTTAAGTTTTAGTGAAGACATCTGATTTTGAACTTGGGAGTTCTGATTGCTTTGTCGGCTTCCAAGTTGCTGCAAATTATTACTATTATATAGGTGAATTTTTGGTCTTGCCAATGTGATTGTGCAGGGATAAACGAACAGATAAATACCAATATATACTATGAGAAAGTTGCCTCTGATCTCAACATTCAACAATGTATGTTTGTTTATGGCCGTAATTGCAATAAGTTCATTTTTTTTGTCATTAGTTAATGGAGAAGTTATTGAACATATATGGTGTTTGTTACGATTATATAGTTTTAGTTGCTAAAATAAGCGATAATTTTAATGCGAATTTAGAATTATGAAAACAGACAAAGTCTTGAGCTTTTAAATTAAATAAATCTAAAATTGAATATGTAAAATGTAGGCTTAGTAGTTATAAAGAAGCAAGAGTTATAGTGATTAAGTTGGATGGTAAGATAGTATTAAAAAATAGTTATTTTTGATATTTAGGATTAATTATTTAAAGCGATGTTGATATAAAAAGAAATATAAATCATAAGATTGAAGTAAGATGGGTGAAATGATGAAATGTATCGATGTATTATGTGATCGTAACATATCTTTTTAATTAAAGGAGAAATTATATAAAATAATTGTAAGACTTACATTATTATATAAGATTGAATATTAAACCGTTTAAAAATAATATGAGAAGAAAATAAACGTAACAAAGATGAAAATGTTTAGAAGGATGTATGATAAAATTAGAAAATAAAATAAGGATAATCCAAATTGAAAAAAAGATAAAGAGATGGCCATTTAATATGGGTTGTTCATGTGAAATATAAACTTATATGAACACAAATTAGGAGAAATTAATTTATGAATTTGAGAGAAACCAAAACTTCTAAAAGTAAATCAGGAAAGACATGAATACAAATAATAAGAGATGATACGAGAATTAAAAAAATAAATGAAAAAATTATTTTTTTATAGAAATAAGTATTACAAGAAAATTCAAAACTACAATCTAATATAATTTTTTTTTAATCTTTCATACAACTGACCCCAAGGTTATAGGATACAAAGCCTAGTTTGTTGTTATTGTATGTGGTAGATTGAGAAAATACTGGTTTATAAATGTATCATATGTTTTTAATTTTGTTCACTTGTACATTTGTTCTGGCATTTTTACAAGACAAACATTTTCACCATGTTTCTTTGTGGCTGCAGCCTCTTTAAATACATGGAAAACGATTACTCTTAAGTACACCAAGCAACCCTTAAGTTTGCAGCATTACCACTTCAAAGAAGCCTTCTTGGCAAAAATCAAATCAGTTCCATATTTCTTTGATGGAAGCCACCTGCTCCTAGGAGAGAAGGGAACTGAACTGTAACCAGATTGTTGAAAAGCTGGCATTGATCAACAGACCTAGTTTAAAAGACGTCAATGGAAACTGCTCTGCTTATGGCTCCTATATTATCTTTGTCCCACTGGAATCGACTGTTTGTGCATCATTTTCCCATACGTGGGCAGTAATTGTTTAGGGAAGACTGAGTTAGTTAAGTTTCCCATTTGCTTTCTCGTTGGCATGGGCTTGAACTTGATATCCTTGTTGTCTACTATGTCTACTACAACAGCATCGGATGTCAGAAAAATCTTGGCAACAGATGCTGCATGCTCCAAACAGCATCTAACTACCTGCTCAAATAAGAGTGACAGACAAATTATTTAAAGTAGCTAAAGCATTCTTGAAACACACGGAATGAAAACTTATACTCATTCTACCATGCATGAGGTTGGAGCCTAAGCCTAAGAAATTGGAACTGGCCTCATTCTTGTTTTCGGAGCTCTTAGTCTAAATTAATTAGCCTAAATCCTCATTAGGTGAATTTACCGAAGACATTACAGTGATCTAAATATGAAGCAGTTAGATATATCTTTCTAGATCAGTAAGGGCTTTCTACAGCATAAACATACAGGAATTAACAATCCTACATCCAGAGGCTAATTTTAGGTGCATTCATGAATAGCGATTTTATTGACGATACCTTTGTTGGATCCATAATTCCAGCTTTCATCAAATCCTCATAAGAGTTTCGTGCAGCGTTGTATCCATATCTTGTGTCATCATTGGATAAGACCTATAAGATGAATATGTGAAGTATAACGAGGAATGTACCTCCAAAATGTTTTATATCTCCATTAATTCTTCCAATACATAATCATGCAAATATTTATGATATACTGAAGTTCAGAGACCAACCTTCTCTACAACAACAGTCCCATTAACACCAGCATTTTTGGCAATTAGTTTTGTTGGATAGCTTAATGCTCTCTTGAAGATCTCAGCTCCAATCTGCTCTCATTTGCAAACAAAAGCTCATAATTTTTTGTCAGTACAGAGTCGAGACAGTCAGACAGATAGCAACAGTGAGATATACATCATAAATTATGCAAAATTGATATATGGAGGTGGACATACTAACGTACTTATTAGATATGGATCATGCACTCATGATTCAAGTAACAGCTGATAATGCATTGATCACTCAATTTTTTTCTTGTGCTTTTGATTTTTACAACGAATAACTGGAAAATTTGTATATATATACATAAATATATGTATGTATATATTTTAAAAGAAAACCCAGATACCTTTTGCTCTTGATTATCCAACAGTTTTTTTATTCCATCCACCTTTGCAGATAGACGCAAGAGGATACAGCCACCTCCAACTACAACACCTTCCTCGATTGCTGCCTGCATCATATCAAGTCAGAAGCTTGCTTTTTATAATTGAAAATCAATCACTTGAGACGCTGAGGTAATGATGGAAAACCTTCCCATGAGAAAGTGAAGTATTCACACATGACCCTGGATTTTTTTGTTAGAAAATTACAAGAGGTAAAAACATAACTCTATTCTACGCTAATATTTATTACTTCTACAGATAACTAGATTTGTAAATCCGTACCTTAGTTGCATTCAAAGCATCTTCAATTCTGAGTTGTTTGTCCTTCAATTCAACTTCGGTTTGTGCTCCAACCTATCATATAATTGATGAAATTAAGTAGATTAGCTCATATGGAAGTCTTTCAAGATTTCTCGAGCATTGAGGTATTCCATGCTAGCAACTTTTATATTAGTTCACCTGAAGAATAGCAATTCCTCCCGATAATCTGGCAATTCTTTCATTGAGTATCTTCTTTTGAAAATTTTCTTCTGTGTTCTGCAAAAGAAGAAATAATTATATTGGTCTTCACAGAGAAACTAGACATATAATTTCTTCAAGATCTTGTCAGCATAACTTAGGAAAAAGATGTATCCTTCCTACACCATCTCCTATTCTCTACGGATTTTCCAACTTGAAGGTGAAATTTAAGAGTTTCCCTTCAGTGATTGAAATTTTGCAGTATGCTAGATAAGGTTACTAGCTCTTTTAGATTTAGTTTTGTTTATATGGTCGAAAAATTCATCTAAAGACCAATGTGATGCTGCAGTAATAACATTTAACATGACAACCAAAGTCATGTGTGGATTTGTGTACAAAGGACAGGTAATTATTCAGTGTTATAGCTGATAATGCAATGCAGAACTTTCAATATATACAAAGATCGCAAATGAGGCCTACGTCCAATTAAAAGGACAGGCTGAGGTGTAGGGAGGTCCTACTGTCCTAGGTTCGAATCCCTCCATCTTCATTTGTGTAGCGTGTTGTGTCATTAATTGTTAAAAAAAAAGAGACATGGAATTATTATGTGCACCTCAACCAGACTTCGTATCTGAGAAACCCTTTTCTGAACAGCTTCTCGTGTACTCCCATCACTAACCATGTATGTAGAATCCTTAGTTATCACAACCTTAGTAGCAGTACCCAATGCCTCCTTCCCAGCCCTATCTAGAGTCAAACCCATATCATCTCTGATCACAGTGCCTGAAATGAAAGATACATATACAAGGCTACAATGAAAAATATAAAGTAATGCGATGAAGCAAAAGTTTTAGCAAGCAAAAGTTCCAAGAGAGAATGATGGCACTTTTATTCGCTTATTGAAGTGATTTTATTGAGGATTCATATTGAACACTACAAGTTTCCAAATAACCAAAGGAGCCTGAAATAAGGTATCCTCAATCTTTGAACCAGAATTTGAACACTATACCTTGTATCCTGTCAAAATAAACAAAACAGAGGGCCTACAAGTTTCAAGTTCTAGCACCTGAGCACCTTTTCCTTACAGGGCAATAGGTCATTATAGTCCTTTCTTAAGCCAGAATATCCATGGGGGTAAATGGATTCTAAACTGTTTAATGAGTAGGACTTGACTTGCTAGCACAAAGATCTTAGAGCACCAAATAAGACCTCATTTGCAGAACCCAAAATAAATACATAAAAAAGAATTTAATGATTTAGCATTATAAAGATGGAAATTGTCATAACTAGTGTACTTAGTTGTTGGGTAAAGCTTCTATCTCTGTACCCTTTGAGATCTTCATTCCATTCTAAAGAGTTACTTTATGCCTGAAGATGTTATCTAGTGAAAGTCTAAAAGATATTTAGCCATTTCATTTGCAGTGACAGAAACACTTGGTACTTTTTTCCAGCTGATGGAACCGATACATAGACATTCTTAATATACGCGGGAATAAGAATATCAGTTTTTGTTACCTCCAGTCAAGATAGCAATATCGTCCAAGCAGTGGCTCTTGCGCTCACCAAAGGCAGGAGCCTTAATAGCAGCTGCCTTCAGCACACCCTTGAGTTTGTTCCTAATCACTGGAGCAAGAGCTTCCTGCTCAATATCCTCTGCAACTATAACAATTGGATACTTCTCTTTAACAGCGCTGTCCAATATTTTAAACATCTCCTTTGGATTTGTGATCTTCTTGTCAACCAGTAGTAACTGAAACCAAAGAATTTCATACCCTCTAATCACTTTATAGCAACACATGTCGGGTTTAAAACCTAAAGTTTATACCTTGCAATTGTGAAACTCAACAATCATCTTTTCTCTATCAGTGACAAAATAAGGAGACAAATATCCTCGATCAAACTGCATTCCTTCCACCATTTGTAGACTGTTCTCGGTACATTTTCCTTTTTCAATTTTGACTACGCCCCCCCTTCCCACTTGTTGAAGAGCATCAGAGATCATCTTTCCTACTGTATAATCATTCCCAGCGCTAACAGCAGCAACATGTGCGAGTTCATGATCCTCAACCTGCAATATGTTATTTGCACTTCAGGCAAGATTGAGATAAGTTCAAATATACTCCATAGCACATATAAGAAATATCATTATTATTTTCATCTTTTTGGACCAATAATGTTTATCATTAACAAAGATAATATAGTTATGCACCTCTCTGGACATCAATTTGAGTTCAGAAACAAGGGCATTCACCGTATTCTCAATCCCACGAGCAATTTGAACTGGATTCATTCCAGCTAAAATTACCTGGAAGAAAAAGAGTTATTGATTATAAAGATTGGCAGAACTTCTGTTCAGAGATATGCAAATCTGAAGCCTACTTAAATTGAAATCAGAAATACATTTGCAAGGCATAATCAGACTGACATTGTAAAAAGCCTTTCAAAAAAGAAGCTTCCACCTGCTATATCTTCTAGGGTTTGTTCTAACAAGGGAAAACATTGTAGCTTCATCTCAGCATGTGATTCTTACCTTCACGCCTTCTGTAATCAGACCATGAGCGAGAACTATAGATGTAGTGCAACCATCACCAGCAAGGTCATTTGTCTTTGCACCTGCTTGCCTCACTAATTTAACTCCAACATTCTCCAACGGATCCTCCAACTCAATCTAAACAATCAAGATACAATTTAGAAAGAAAATACCAAATTGAAATAGAAGGGGCCATTTTCTCTTTGTTCTTGATGTTAGCTTATGCAGTTGTGCAAATGCATCTTCAAATATCAATAAGTTTTCTGGAATGCACAAACAAACTTAAGAATATTCTTAACTACTAGTACATATTAAGGACCTTTCATGATAAATCATATGAATCGATTTAGAACATATCCATATTGGTAGAATACCCTGGTGAACAATATATCAACTTGAAAAAGAATAAATTCATAAAACTCTTCTGTGATTCCTTTTAAATTGCTTCTAGCACTAAACAAATCATAATGAAGAATGTGAAACAAATATTGAATAGTATATGAACACACCAAGAAAAACCCCTGAAGCACCAATTGCTGACATTCCATTATTTTCAAGCAATTTATAGTGTTTATCATGAATAGCTCTGAATATGTATCCTTATTTATGGACAATTCAAGAATATAAAAAGTAAAAACCATAATTTTTTCAGGTATTAATGAAGGCTCCAATTGCCATATCAAAATAAAGGCAAGACACAAAGTGTAGAAGTAGAGTGATGGGTCCAAGTAGAAATTGGAATACCTGCTTGAGAACAGTTTCTCCATCATTAACAATCTTGGGAAGTCCATACTTGTTCTGAAGCACCACATTTCTCCCCTTTGGACCTAATGTAACCCCAATCAGCTCTGCCACTTTGTCCACACCTGCCTGCACCATACCAACAAGGAAAGAACAGAAAAAGGAGAAAAAAAAATCTGGGTGTAAGATTCTAGTGATCAGAGTCAGTCGAATATAATCTATTATGATTAGAGAAGTAACCTGAAGCTTCTTAGTGGCAGAACCATCATGGTTGAAGTAAACCTCTTTGGCCATGGCTCTGGGCTTTTTCAGGGTGGAATAATGAGAAGCTGATGCCCTTTTGGCTTTGGGCAGTGTTGGGTTGTTGAAAGATATCCCAGGAAATGGAGCTGGTGAACATGCCATGATTGAGTTTCTGGAGAGAGAGTTTTTGAAAAATGGTTGATATTCCGATAAATGGAAAACATCATAACAAGACAAAGGAGTAAAAAAGATAACGGGAAAATATCTCGGCAGTTGTTTTTGTCGCTATTCCATGGCTAGAAGAACTGCCTGCCTGCTTATTGAATCGGATATTTTCATGGGTTGGTTTTAGACAGGTTCAAGTAAGGCCTTAAAATGTAATCTTAGACTCTCATATACGGGCTTTGATTTTCAAATATTGGCTCTTGAGAAGGTTTTTTTTTTTATGTCTTTTGTAGTGCGATAAGTAAAAAGGAAGAGCATGGCGGGTTGAAGGTGGTGGATTGTCCTTGAAACAGTGCATTTATCTGTCTGTCAAATTTCTATCCGTAGGAAAATTTTACAAGTTGTTCGTTCAACACCCAAAGTTTGGCACCAATCCGTTGAATTGGACTTTGCCAAGAGGCCATGGTCGAAGGCTCCAAAGTCCAAGCACATAGGTGGAACAGGAAATGCATGCTCTGATAATATGTCCCAAGCTCTTCCTTGGGTCAATTAGTTGCTTGGCCCTAAAGTTTATTGGGCTTCAGTGATCTTTAGAGCTGAGGTTCTGAAACCAACACAACTCGTCAACTCTTGCAATTATATTTTTCTTTGGATAATTTCCTACTCAATGACCAAAAACTAAAGTCTTCTAAAAAAAAAGTTCCCCATTTCTTCCCTCGTAAGGGGTCTAAGTTTTTCATCTTTTTTCGGCACTAAACTATCGTTAACCATCATAAAATTACGATTCAATTGGATTATTAATGGATATATGTTGACTTACCAATCCTTCTCTTGGATCATTATCAACCACACAATATTTGATTGTCTAGTAAATAGAATCAATAATTTAAGTTCATGCATTTATAGTCCCATTGCAGCGTGGTGGGAGTCCCTCCCAATGTGTCGTGCTTTTATGACCGGATCCCTAACTCTTAAGAAGTGTTTCTTAATCAGTATTCTTTCTTTTCATATTGATGTGTTACTTGGAAAAATGGTTACAAGAACCATCAAAAACGAGAAAAGAAAAAAGATGTTGACATTGGGTCCGTGAAGTTAGTGGAACTGACTGCTTTTTTACAAAAAGAGCAGATTTTCCATTAGATATACATGCATGTGGGAGGTACCTGTGCTTGTCTGTTATGTGAGAATCAATGATTCTTCAGAACTTAACCATTTTTGGTCAGGTCTGAAACAATCTCCCGAGATATGGCAGATCTATTAACTGCTATGGAGTCTTCAGTCAACAGATAGCTCAAGGAAAGGAAATATAACTAAACATTTTAACAATATAATTATTATGCTTAGAGGAATAGCATGCATAAACAAAAAAAGTGTCAAACTATGTTCTGCATTAACAAAAAAAGCCTGCAGGTGTATCCATTTATGCAGAAACTGGTTGCTGGCGCCATCTCTTCGAAGAAGATCCATAACATATAGGAGCAAGCATGGATTGCACGATCATACACGTAGCAACGAGAAAGCAAGATAGAATGGATATATAGGACTTTCTAATGCAGTGGAATCTGGGATTGTGAAAAAGGGAACTGTTCAAGCAGCAGCTGAAGCATAGGCTGTGCTTTGATGTCGCTTCTTTTTGGTGAAAACAAGGTAAGCTAGGGGTGAACCCAAGTTAGACAGGCAAATTGATGCTCTCACATAAAGCTGAAAATATTACTTTGGATTATGTTAGTGGATAGCCTTTTCAAATGTTTTGCTTGGCATAGTAGTTTCTTGTATGGTGAGCCACTACTAGCAGCACCTCCACCACCATTTGTCCTATTGCCCCTGTTATTGTGAGCAACACTGGGGATTGGACTGGCTATGGGGCTTCCTCGTGGCATGAATGGATCCTGTTCACACAAGGGCCACCTCTCTAAAAGCAACTTGTTTCTTAACAATATTATACCACAAATGAAAAAAGAAAAAAAAAATGTTACTTCATTTTGTGGCAGTAAAATTAGTCAAAAATATGTCATGAATATTGCCTCAAATTTCATAGCAAATTTGTTTAGAATTAATTAGATATTATTTGATGGATATGAAAATTTGTAAAAGAAGAATTCTAAGAAAAAATGAATTGTTGATAGATAAGTTTATATGTTTATAAATAGCTGAAGTTTTTATAAAATTAGGTATGAAAAAAAAAAATAAAAGAATTATAAGATTTTATGAAATAGACATCCAAGTACTGAAGATTTATGTATTATGGATGTGTATATTTAAATATTTATGAGTAGATTAGAGGAGATTGAAATGATCATATATGTATGATTTATGGGTATATATGTGTATGTATTTATTTATGTTAAAAGAATGTACATGAATATATATTTGTTTAGGTTGATAATACTCTATAACAATAGAAGAGATTGAAAGATTTTATGGCTATTAGTTATGAGTGTTTGATTTGATCAATTAATGTATCTTTTTTTTTTCATTCGTGGATGTAAGTCAATTAGGCTAAACCATATTAAATTATTATCTCATATGTAACTGATTAATTGTTTGATTTTGCTTCCGATAGCTTATATGGTTAATTGATAAGGGGCTTTTTGTCTAATTATGCGTTAGGATTTTCTATTTTTTAATATCTCAGTGCTATTTGCTGTTCTTTCTCTAATCTATCCATATATCAGGTGAAATTATATAACAAGAGTTGGTGGGGTTCATAAAATGATTAATAGATAAAAGTCATGATCGAGTGTTTGATTTGCTTCGGATGGACCACTGCAGAATGCAGACAACATTTTCACATATTCTTCTCTGGAATGTTATGTGGCGAGAAGAGCTGCAAACAGTTGCTTCAAACCATGGATTGTTTACATGACGTGAATAGACCATTAAGCTGAGTTAGGATCAAATGATCAGAAAAGATGTTATTGTATGGTTTGATTCTAATCTCATGCAGCTCAAACCATGGCAAAGGCTTGATTAACAACAGTAGCAAACTGAGGAACATAGAATAGTTATATATGGCAAGATAACTCTCATCTCAGTGAAGAAAATCTACAGAGTTAACAATAGATTGGTTTGTGGACTCAGCTCTCAGGTAAGCAGTGTTGCAGGGCACCTCTTCCAGCTCTCTTAATGCAAGAGAATAAGGACTGCCAATTTTTAGGTCAGACAGCATTTGGCGAAGATCAGAGGCTTCTTCCTTGAGCTTTGCATTCTCTTGAAGAACTCGGTCATGGCACTCTGATACATGATTTAACTTGTATATGAGACTGTTATTCTCGTTGCGAAGCCTGATTACCTGTGAGCAAAGTTCATCCAGGTGCTTCTGTTTCCGCATCCTTGACCTACGAGCAGATTCTCTATTAGATATCATTCTTCGCTGTTTCCTTTCGATGATGCTGAGCTGGTGTTCCTCAGCCTCATCTGAAGTTGAGTTATTGCTGATACTTGAGGACTGAGCAATGAATTCATGAGCAGGCTGAAGGATGTGGGAATTGGGTAGGCTGCTTAAGAATCCATCGAAATGAAAAGCTGGCATACTATTTTGCATCATGCCTGCTGGAATCAGGATCCGGTTTTCTGGTGCTATGTAGTGAAGTCCTGTAAGCTCACCAGGAAGCATGGTTTAAATTCTGAAGTCGATCCCTGAAGCTGAAGGGTGGTTATGTGTTGCAGTGATTGTTGAGCCTTTGAAGGTAGGAGAGGATGGAATGAATGGGGAGGTTTTTATAGGAGGAAAATGGTTTTTGAGGTAGGCCAGTTTCACCAACAAGTGTAACAGTATCAGGGATTACAAATTTACAAGAGCAAACATTTGTCACTATTCACTAATGTCAATGTTGCGGTGATGGCAGATGTACCACTTGCTTTGCATTACATACATTATTTCTGATGGCAACAATGCTGCTCTATGTGTTGCAGCCATGATTTAAAGAAACTTATGTATGTATGTATACATGTATGCATTAATTTATGCATGCATGAGATTAGGTGTATGAACATGCTATAGAAAGTTCAGATTTGGATAATCATCTGGCATCTAATATAATGCTTAGACCAGAGAAAACTTGTTGATGAGAGTAATAATTTGAGCAAGGAATGTTTCAAAGAAGAAAAAAAAAAGGCAATAGAGAAATGGCGTTGAAGTCAATCTCAGGAGAATTTTTCAATATTCAAAACTTCAGCAGGGAATAAGGCCGTGTCTGACGACACGATGAAGTCCTGTTTAAAAGATAAACCAGCAAATAAAAATTCTATTTTAATCAGATGACTCATTCAGCACCTCAATTTTAAGATTTGAGTGTCCTATAAGAGTGCAATTATCTAAATAGTTTAACATCAGGTACCTAAATCCCAGCAATCTCAGTGTCCTTCATTGAACTGAACTGGGAAAATTTTAATTATGATTCTTGTCAAAGCTCGCGATTCCTTATGCTTGATTTCTTCGATCCTCCCTGTTTTTCCCCTTCTCGGTTTTGATCTGTCATGACAAAGTGTTAGTACACCAAGGCACTGGTTTAAAGAAATAGTCTTCCATCCTAATGGTACAATACTTGCCTTGAATTGCTTTCTATCTGATATGTTATGGATCAAAAACTCATAGTTCAGTGCCTTGTGACAAGTTATCAGGTTTGTAATTCTTTCATGACACATCATCGATTGGCACGTTTACCATCAAAGTACCTAAAATACATTTCTAAAGTAATGTTGTTTATAATTGAACTAAGAAATTGCAGCATCTTTGTCAGTACATAATCAATTGTTTATGGATGATTAATTAATATACATTGAAGCCCACTTTCAAAGAAGATTAGATCAAAAAAATCTTGGCAGCAACTTGAAAACGCATTGTTTTCTGCTAATGGAGTACAATATTCTATCCACATCTAATTCATTGTCATGTTTAGTAACACTACAAAGCTTAGGTGATTCCCCACTAAAACTAAATTTTCTTTAGAAAAAAGAATAGATAGGAGTTGGGAAGGAAAAAGGAGAACATGTTTCAATGCATGCAAAACATCCAAAGAAGGTTAGTTAAAATAATATTTGGAAATTCTGTGGAAAATAGTCTGTACTGCTCCAAAAATGTGAATTAATCATTAGATCTTCATGTCTGTGCATGAATGCAAGAGTAGAACTCCTTTGATCATTGAAACGATGAAGAATAAGAGAGGTTGCTTTATTCCATTATCTGAAAGGACAAGGAGAATGCAAAGATTTGTGATATCTCATGAATGGGAAATTTGGAAGCAGTTCAAAAACCTTTCATGCATATGAATATGTATTATACTCCACAGATATGAAAAAGATGAATCAAAGCCAAACTTTTTGAGCAACATCTGAAAAACTAAAGCTGCCAAAGGAGTTGGACCAGACATGATTGACTGATAGTAAGTTTTGTGGGTAGAAAAAAAAATACATAAAGATGGGAGAGGTCATTCCTACAACCTGATAACTTGTGGGTACCATAGTATATGCTATTTGTGGAAGGTGAATGGCAAATAGGCTGCTCAACCATGATTTCAGGTGCAGAATATGAGCAACTGACATATATCACTAACAATTTGACTGAACTCTGTGATGTAATATTAATTTTGTCCTGTTTATCAATGTTGGTGGTATCAGTCACATTCTTTCTGCCAGGGAACATCAATCACTGTGGGTAGTGAACTTGTGATAGCAACCGATAAAAGGAATGAAGTATGTGAAATGTTACAGTTTTTGAAAATTTGATGCTCCCCCATCGAAACCTGCAATTTCACTAATTTAAATTGGTGTGGTAAAGGTAACAATGGCATGCAATATGGCCTGGAATTCTAATCCTTCACAACACTGATCGTGCCATGCAGTCCATAGCGATTTGCATAATTTAATCCACCAGAGCACTGATCATGGCATGCCATCTATAGCAATTAGCAATAATGCCAGAAAAACTGTGCCAAACCATGAATCCTATGTACAAACACCTTTTGAAAAGCCAAATCATGAATATGCAAACACGTTTTGAATCACAACATGCATCAAGCAAACACCATACAGGATTTATCCAATGTACTGCCTAAAATTGGACCTCATTCTTCAATAAACGAAAATGCCCTGATGTGATTAATCATTGGCAAATTGGAGATGAGCCAAGTTTTTGGGGTCCTACCAATTAAAGAAAACAACAAAAAAGTTTGAAAAGTATAAGAAGAATAAAAGGGGATTATAATGGCTTAGATAATTGCTTTTAATTTCTTTATCCTTGTACATCCCTGGCCTAATATGTTGCTATAGCTAGTATGCAGACAGAGGAGGAGAAAGGGCACCACAAATGTGAAAGAAGTGATGCATACGGAGGGGGAACACCTAATCTTTGGTGCCAAACATTATCCGAGAGGGCAACATTTGAATTGAAACACATAATTGTGCCCAAGTGGATCACCTTGGTGCCTGGTGCCCCATTCCTGCACCCAATTGCACAGCCGGTTAACTCAACCCAATATATGAAGTCTCTCTCTCTCTCTCCCTGGCACACTTTGTGCCTATGTCCTCAAATTAACATGTCTGTATCTAGTTTCACAATGAAACTAAGGCTTAATACATGTTAAGAAAAACATTGCAGTGCATGTTAAAGTCTTAAATAAGTAATTACAAACAAATGTCCATACTTTAACTTTTGTTTGTAATGGAAGCAAGGAAGCTTCCCACACTCAACAATCCTATGGACATCGAAGATAACTACTATATTTCACTGCTAGTGAGTTTTATGTAATGTTTTGAAAAAATCTTCATTAAACAGAAAATGAAGTAACAGGAATGCCTGCATTATACTTGCATATCGGCAAACAATGCCTGCATTATACTTGCATGTCGGCAAACAATCATCCATCAAGCATACCGGTTATGCAATATAAGGTATACATTACTTTTAGTACTGCCACTGAAAAATTTATTGTCTGAAACAGTTGGCTACTTTAGTAGTGGTCGGAGTCTCTTGGAAATTCTATGGTCACACAGGCTACCATATCAGCATCTGCTTTCAAACCTTTTAAGACTTCTTCAATATGGAATTGGAAAATTTTGGTACCATCACCTATACCAAATGTGCACTGTCTCCACTTTCCCCCCACTTAAACAACCCTTTTGATTTCTTTCGTGCGGTCATCGCATTTTGCAGTGATTGGTTCAAATAGGATAAGGTCATCGCCATTTTTCCTCTTCTGCTAAATTCCATGATCCCCATTCCCCACATCTTATTAAAAGACAAGTTGCAATTTAATCGGCTTTTTCTTTAACTGAAAATTTTCAAAATTTTCACATTGCCTTGTTGTCAATGACACATATATAGTTCGTTTGTTTCATAATAAAAATGGTGGATGGTGCATTTAAAATATTACTGCCTCAAGCATGCTTGTTTTCTAGCACTTACGTAACTTTATTTAGGTATTAATCCACTAACAATGTGGATGGTAAAGTTTTCTAGGTGCTTTAAAGAATGTTTTAGTTTAATTAGTGATCTCAACATTATATAAATCAGTACTATATCTTCATTATCCTTCTGCCTTTGGTTTAATGGTGCTTTGTGTTGAGCTTTGACAGCTCCAAGGGTTCCTACAGGAGCCATTCATCAATCATTGGATATTTTGCTCATGAAAGGATTGTTGTCCCATCATATTCTTCCTAGTATAATCCTAAAGTTACAGTGTTGCCAAACTTGCAACCATTAGACGTGCCAAAGTGATCAATCTCTATCTATCAGAGTATTCATCAATGATGAAGGTCCACATTTCTTGTAAATTTGTCTTGCAATTGATCCAATGGAAAGACCTAAGCTCTTTGCTGTAAACTGATAGGTCCCTTGCTTAGTGATCTCACACCATATTCCTGAAAACGAATCAGCATTAAAAGGTTGATACGCGCAACCTTCTTAAGTCTTAACGCATATTATTTGAATTCCTATAGGAATGATTAAGGGGATTCTTCAAGTACCCTGAGCCACAAGCCTCATTAGCCCCATTTAACCGGCCAATTTACTATTGACATACATAAGCAATATGCTCATACCGGCTTTGTGGAGATGTGCGATACTTTACTTCTCATCATCATCACTTCTGGACCTGAACAAAAAAGTGGCGTAAGCATGAAAACTTCTATACTTTGGTGTCTCCATTCGCAAGTAAATTGCATCATGGGACTAGCTCAAGTTTCAAACAATTTACAGTCTACGAACCGAAGTAGGTGTTAACTAAACCATGGTTGTATGTGTGCGCGTGTGTGTGTGAAGTAGAGCAAGTTATATCCAACTATGAATTCCCATTTATGACCTTGCTTGATCTATTATAGTCCAAGATTCTTTAAGATATTATGTCTGCCTGTTAATTTGTCCTCCAATGCTTATGTACAGCATTAACATATATTGTACAAAGATATGCTTGTTCCTTATCTCAGAATAAGAAATAAAAAGTAATACTATTAGAAAATGGCTCAAATTTCATTGTATATTTAGTCTCATTATTGTCAATCTCACTGTTTAAGGAGCAACACAAAAAAAAAAAGTGTCAAATAGCAGGATGGCTGCTTAAGTACTGCAACTGAATTCGTTGCCTCATTGTAGAGCATCCTGTACTTAGTACTGGAATCTCTGATACATATATCTGCCATTTACTAGTTTTTTTTTTTTTTTTCTGTACCATATTTCTAGTACTTGGAGGAGATTTTTAGAATTTATACTGCAGATATACTTGGTGTTGACTATATTCTCAAGAAAGATCCGGGAAACACACTCCTGCATTATAGCTGATTCCCCATCCTCTCTATGAAAAGTCATCTGGGAGCAAAGAAGTTCTCATTTACAGGTATACGAAAGCCACTCACAAAGAGCCAAAGCCATATGCGAAAGGTCTTGAGTGGCAATGAGTGCATTTTGATTGCAGGAGGGGACACCTTAGGCCTAT